GATAGGCTTGCCGATGGCCATGAATGTGGGCAGCAGAGTAGATGCTAGCACCTTCTGGACTCTCTGTCCTGTGCCTTCTTTCTTACAGACCCCTTCCCTTCAGCCCTCTGGCACCGCCCCCCCCCCAACTGGCATCCCTGGGAGCCCCTGCCTCTGCATGGGGAGGTGGCCGTTGGCTACTGGGACCTCCTGACTCCCAGGACCAGAGATCCACTCTGGCTTTTCCCTCGGGGGTGGGGAGAACGTCACTTCCCCGAGCCTACGTGTACAGCCCAGCAGCCTTAGATTGAGCTTATGAAAGTTTCCAAGTGGGTCTCAGTTTCCTCGTCTGGCAAACAGACACCAGCCCTGTCATCTTCCCAAGGCTGTTGTGACAATCGGATGGAAAAACAAAGCCCGAGGAACTCCTAGGTGTCCTGCAGATGTTACAGGTTATGCAAGCCCACGTCATTTGAAGGGCCTGCGCGCCCCCTCCCCACACCAGTATGTGGCTCATCACAAGACAGTCTCAAACGGGGAAGAACATTGAGTGCCAGAGCTGGAATGCAAGTTCAATTCCAAGTCCAACCTCTTTCAGTTCTTTTCTTCTCAGATGGAGGCTGTGATTTGAGCCCACACTTCTGCACCCCCCCCCCCCACTCCACCCCGCACCACACCCACTCGGTTGCTCTCCTTTCACCTTGTCACGCCATGTCCTCCTCTTTGGGGCTGTTGGCAGCTTCAGGTTCAACAGCATGATTTCATCCTCACACTTTATGGTTGCCGCCTGGCCTCCCGACTGCCGAGGCCCTTGTCTGTGCCCAGACGGGACCTTCTGGCACCCCCAGCGGGTACCCCCAGGCCACTGGGGCCAGCTGTGGGAGCCCTGGCCACCCCTCAGCTGAGCTCTCGTTTAGGAGGAAGGTGTGCGCAGCTGCCACTTCATCACCAGCTGTTTCTGTGTTTGGAATTGGCGGGGTGGGGGTGATCGGTGTCGCACTGCTGGTGTGGCGCTTGCTCTTCTGTAGCTGCTGACACCAGGCCCCGGATGGACATGGATTGCGCCAGGTCCCGTACCAGCGTGGGGCAGAGCCTCTGCCGGGTCCTGTAAGAGCGTGGGGCAGGGCCTCTGCTTTGCAGGGGGATCTTAGCGCAAAGCAGAAGTGGAGGGCCATGGAGGGCCAGGGCAGCAGGCAGCCTCGGGAGAGAGCAAGGGCCTTCTCGTTCCAGCTCCATCTTGCTGGGTGACCTTGGTCTTTGTGTTCTGGGTGCTGACTCGCTGTCCTCACACCATGAGGGAGTCAGGTGAGCCGATGTCCAGGCAGCCTTGGCGCTGGCCCCTGGTGCTGCCCCACGCAAGGGCTGGGGTCCCACTTCCTTGCCCCTCCACATGCACTCTGCGGTCCGGGACCAGGGAAGAGGAGCTGCCCGTGGGAGACAGGAGAGGGGTGCAGCGCCTCCCTCAGAGGCCCCCCGGGTGCCTGGTAACGGGTCATCCCATTCACCTTGGAGATTCCCTTCCAGCTCCGTCATTCTGGGAATGATTCCCCTCTTTACAGAAACCACAGTGACAGGAGGAGAGTTCCCGTCCGCCCGGCAGTCACCCTGGAACTGCCGGTGACCATCAGGGCATGAGGTCAGCAGGATGTGGAAATTCCCTAATTCTCTTACTGCGTTTCTTCCCTCCAGAAGTCCAGGCCCTCCCCTGAGTGGCTCCCCTCATCTCCAGAGAGGGTTTTCTCACTTCAGGCTGTTGCGCGTGGGCTCCGTTGGCCTCCTGCCCGGCAGCCCGTTCGCTGCCTGCCCGCTGGGCGCTGCCGGTGAGGCTGGAGTCGGGGAGAGTAGCCCTGCTTGCCCCTCCCTTGGCTTCCCTGAACCTCTTCCGTGCCGGCTCCCCAGTACCGAGGGAGAGCCCGAGTGTCACGCGGTTTGGAGGACACGGAGATGCGGTTTCAGTTCCCATATCCCACATCCTGCTCTGTCGCTTGGCCTGACATCCGGGCATCTCTGAGGGAGCACGGTTGGGCCAGCCCTGGTCTCAGAAGTATGTGGCTGTCCAGGGTACCGCTGGCCGGTGGTGGGACACAGCCGGGCTCTCGGGATGTTTTCAGTTGGCTTCTCAGGAGGCAGAGGCAGGGGATAGGCTTCCTCTGCTCTGATGAGACACTTACCGAGGCTCTATCATGGACCACTCTGAAGGTACAAGGTGGACTCGACCCCTACTCTTACAGAGCTGGTCTACTGGGCAAGCCAGATGTGGAGTGAAAAACTTACCCAACTCATCACGGAACGGCAGCTGTGAGTTCTGTTTAGGGTGAGCGCAGAGTGGTGAGCGGGACCCAGGACACACAGGGTCGCTTATCACCAAAGGTGGCTACAGGCCTCTTCCAAGCCTTCAGTCCTCCCACTTGTGAGCTCTCTTCAGCTCTCAGTCATGGCCCACCTTCAGGTGCCAGACCTGTGCTGGTGATAGGTGAGTAGAGCATGCCCTGCCTCCAGGAAGTCCTCAGTCAAATGCACAAATGCTTACACCAGTCACCTGCGTTGCATACTGGGTGGTAAGTGTTTTTGCTGGAGAGGCACACGAGGCAAGTGGGGAGCACAGAAGAAGGACTCCCCCACCATGTCTACCAGCATTTTTGAGCACCTTGCTAGACACCAGTCACTGTGCTAAGTGCCTTCCCCACACTGTCTCGTAGCTCGGTGAACACTTCAGTGTTTTAATGCTCTGCTGTGTAACTCTGACCTTTCACGTTGAAAACAAGTCCCCCCTAAACTCAGTGATGACTTTAATGTTGGGTGTGTGGGCAGCTGTCCTTTGCATCTGTGGGGCCCAGCAGGGCGTGGGTGCCTCTCGAAGTACATGTTCATCTTCTGTTTGTCAGTCTTTGGGGGAGGGGTCCTACTCACCAGAACTCTCGTTTTCTTCCTGGCCCATGTCATTGGTGATATGGACCCTCTGGTCAAAATGCTTGTTACTTCTTGTGCTGCAAGACAGGGGAAACAGCCCAGAGGGCACCTGATAGCTGGGCAGGTGTTACGCCATAGGCTGGAACTGGCTGTCAGCCCCTTGGGCCTCAGTCTTAAATGGGAGAGTGGAGCCAGTGTAGCAGGGGGTTAATTTAGCTCATTTTCCTTGGCAGGGCTGGGTTTGCATCTTGACTCTCACGTGCTGGCCTGGCCGTGTAATCCTGGCTGCGGTACTTAGCCTCCCGGAGCCTCCCTTATGCAATGAGGATAATTTAGCTTTTATCTTAGGGTTGCTGCACAGCTTGCCTGAGATAATGCACCCAAAGCAGTAAATGCAGTGCTTGGCGAGTAGATGATGAATGATTGGGGCTGTCGTTATTAGCCCTTGTTCAGTCTTTCCTTTCAGTGAGCCCTGTATGGGCGCTCAAAGGGCCTTTGAGGATTCCTGCCCTGGGGTGTGATGATCTTGGGAAGGAGGTTTTGGGGCCCCAACTCCTTCTGAGGTCACCAGTGGAGCGAGCCCTTTGGAGCTCTTTCTTGGTAGCAAGCCCTTTGCAGGTTTTTCAGCCTCAGTACCTTTGTACTTAACTATTCTCTCTGCCTAGAATATTCTTCCCTCAGATACCCACATGGCTAGTTCCCTCACCTCCTTTAGGTCTTTGCTAAAAGGCCTCCTCCTCTGTGAGGTCTTTCCTGACAATTCTACTTAAAAGTAAGGTCCCTGCCTCATACTTCCCTGCTTAACTGTTGTCCATAGATGTTTTTTGTTTTTGCTTTTTTATTTTTTTTTAATGTTTATTTTTGAGAGAGAGAGAGAAGGACAGAGCACGGGCAAGGGAGGGGCAGAGAGAGAGGGAGACACAGAATCCGAAGCAGGACCCAGGCTCTGAGCTGTCAGCACAGTGCCGGATGCGGGGCTTGAACTCACAGACCGTGAGATCATAACCCGAGCTGAAGTGCAATGCTTGACCGACTGAGCCACCCAGGTGCCCCTGTCCATAGATGTTTTAATTATCCCTAATACCATGTTTATCTGCCTATCATCTAGCTGTCTATGTATCTTGACCACCAGAATATGAGCTCTCTGAAGGATTTTTTGTCTATTTGTTGATAATTTCCCAGCACCCAGACTGGTACCTAGCACAGAGTAGATGCTCAGTTAATAACTGCTGAATGAATGAATGGAAGGAAGGAAGAAGTTTCTCTGCTAAGTTACAGAACTGGGATTCAGAAATCACTTTGCAGGGCAGTTTCAAACGAAATAAAGCAGATGAAGCAGATGAACTTGAACAGATTGACACAAAACCCTTGTTGCACAAGTAGATAGCAGTTTGCAGGAAAATTTATGTGTTCATTAGAACTGCAAGGGGCAGACCACGCATGATATGAGAGTGCAGGAAGAGGGCGACAGTGTCAATGTAGTGTATTAAGTATTAGTCAGGGTTTCTTCCTCTTTCTTTTAGAAAAGCTAACATATGAATGAACCTTTGGATTGGATTGACTTGCTTATTCCTGAGGGCCCATTCGCTTTACTGTAAAGATCACTGATTTAGTGCAAGACTCTCATTTCCCCTCAGAGAGGGGAGGGGACTGCCCACGATCCCGCAGTGAGCTAATGGCTCGACCATTTGTTCAGTCCTTGAATGTCCACCGGGCATTCACTTGATAGCTATACCGAGCTGGGCCCTGGTGCTGCCATGATGCAGGGTCCCTGTCCTTCTGGACCCCGCTGATGGGACGTGAACTCAGGCTTTTTGACTCCCAAGTCCTCTGCTCTCTCTCGGACTCCACGGGGGATTACTATTCCAAATGAACCAGCAGTGCAGCGAGGCTGCCCCAAGGAACTGATGGCACTCTTGGTTGTCTCTTAATAGAGACACAGCATCCAGATCAAAGGAGGTGACCGTCCTGCGCTGCTGAACTGTGGCCGGACCAGCCTCAAGTGCTGTGTTCTCTTCTGGGTTATGGGGACTGCCTTCTCGGGGCATCGATTGCCCGGGATGCCTCGGTGGCCTGGCCCGCCCCCTGATATACTGCTGTTGTCCTTACAGCCAGGCGGGCACCACGGCAGGGGTGGCGCCACCCTCATGGAAGGGAGAGGACCATACCGGATCTACGACCCTGGGGGCGGCGCGCCTCCAGGAGAGGCTTCCGCAGCTTTTGAGCGCCTAGTGGAGGAGAATTCCCGACTGAAGGAAAAAATGCAAGGGATAAAGATGTTAGGTAAAACAGACCCTGCGCTCTCCCTGCACGCCTCCTCCCTGCTGCCTGCAGTGCCAGCTGGCATATGCCTCCACCCAAGTTGTCCCTCTGTGCCTCCCAGCCCCGCATTGGCTCCTGTCCCACGGCTGTGTCTTTGTACACTGTGGTGGCACGATGGCAGCATTCCCAGCCCTGATTCCCCTGCACCCCAGATCCATGATGACGGGACTCAGAATACCTGAGGGACCTAGAGGGGAGGAGCTGGAGGGCCCAACTTGGGGACATGGAAACAGAATGGCCTCGTCTTCCAGAAGCACCAGAATCAGGAGGGCTGGCATTACCAGGGGGCGACGAGGGCACGGTCCCCAAGTGTTGGAGCAGGGAGCTGAGCTTGGCCTGAAGCAAAGCGGGAAGAGGTCCCTGGATTTCTCTTCTCCTGGCTTTTGCTCGAGCTGTCCCCCTTGCTTGGAGCAAGTCTGCTTACCCTTGATGACTGAAACAATCATGTGAAGGATTCACTGGTACCCTGTCCAGAGGGGTGTCTTTCCTACACACTCCTAAAACTCTTCCTTTGCTTTGCTGCTGTCTTCTCTGTTTGGGGGTGAGCCCAGGCCCCCGATTTTCTAAATGCTGAATCCTTGCTTGCCAGATCTCTGCTTGGAATGGCAGATTAGGGAAGGGGGAGTGGAGTTTCCCATTCTCCACTTGTAGGAGAAGGAAAACTGAGGCCCAGAGGGGTAGCGGTATTATCAAGGGCCTCCTCCCTGTGGGCAGCCCCTACTGGTAGCCCCAGGTACCATGATGGGTGGCCCAAGAGAGCCCCTGGCCAGGAATGGCTTGGCTGGGGCAGGAGGTCAGGAGTTTGTTCTCGATTCCCCTCTACCCTGTTTCCCTGATTGTGAGGCCCCGTCTTGACCTGGCCCATTTATGCCTGGCGGCTGGAATGAGGTGTGTCATATTCCGCCCACGAGGCGATGGTGGGGATGCAGCCCCGGACCTGCAGCGTCAGAAGCTACGCAGAGGCAGGCTCAGGGGCGTGGGGCCTGTGGAGCCAGTGCACCAAGCTGAGTAACTCCTTTGCCCCTGCTGTCCCAGTCATCTCCCCAGGGGAGCTTTTGGAAGAGTCCCAGATGGAAGCGTCCAGGCTACGGCAGAAGGCAGAGGAGCTGGTCAAGGACAGCGAGCTGCTCCCACCGCCGTCTCCCTCGATGGCCTCCTTTGACCACCTGGCTGAGCTCACAGGTACAAGGGGGCCTGGGCTGGCTTCTGCCTCTCAACAGACTCCTGCGTCTCTAGACCCTTAGTCGTGGCCTCCCCCCTAGTTCAGAATCCCACTTTTCCTCCACTTGTCCTTAGGCCCCAGACCATATCCTACTCATGTTTTGTCTGCAGCGTCCCTCAGAAGGTCAGACTTGGAAGGGACTTTAGAACAATTCTGTGCAAAAATAGCTGGTGACTCAGCACTCCCGAGGCTGTGGCAGACATGAGTGACGGATCACAACCCACTGCACCTGAGAGGTGGCCTCAATCTCTATCAGTGTATTTAGTCAGCAGATACTTAATGAGCAGCTACTGTGTGCCAGGCCTAGCGTTCCAGGCAGCTACTTCGGGTCACTCAGAGTTGGCACGTGAATCAAAAGCTCCCTGGTCTGGTCCCACTTTTCCACTTACCACTGGGGCAGCTGAGGCCCACAGAAGAATCTGGATTTCCGGTTAGCTTGCTGCAGTGTACTTGAGATGTAAGGTACACACTCTGCTTATTAAAGGAGCGTGTCGACGCGAGGAAGGGTTGCAGTCCCCCGTGTGGTCACCACGTGTTCCTCGGCATGCCTCTGAGTACAGGGCAAGGTCTGGGGCAAGGGAAGAAAGGGTCCCCACTCTGGGGCTCAAGTGCCTTGTGCTGCCGCCCACCTACGGTCTTTGCCTAGGCCAGTGTGCCAGCCTTCCCTTGGCCCTGGTTACATTTGCTGAATGGCCAGATAGAGGAGAGTGATGATCCCAGAGTCCACTGTGCTGCCATCATTAGGCATTTCCAGCCTCTGCTTGTCTGCTCGGCAGTGATTGCTGAGTCCCAGCTTGGTGCCAGGCCCATGCCCTGAGTGAGATGTGCAGTTGCTGGCTGTGTGACTGGGCCACCTGGTGACCTTCCCATGCCTTAGTCTCCTTTCTTTAACATGGAGATCCAGAGCTGTCATGAGAATTGGCTGAGATGACAAATGTAAAAATACTTTGTTAATTGGAAAATGTCAACCTTGTTATCATTGAGGCAGGTCCAGGGTAGTGAGGAGCAATGGGCCACCTTGGGATTTTCCCAGCAAGTCCAAAGAAGATGGTCTCTGTGCCCAGGTTCTGTCCCCATCATTCTAGTCATTTTCCCAGGGTACCTGGCCCTGGTGGGACCACCGCTCATTTTCCCAGACTCACATAGAACTCTTCTGGCTGGGGCTGTCCTCAAGGGAATGGTGTCTGGACTTTCCCCCTTTTCCTCCTGCTTATTCATGTATTCTCAATTCTCCAGGGAAGGATGCAGATGTCCCAGCATCCTCTGCTGACCCTGCACACGCCAGCAGCAAGCCAGAGCCAGGCCAAAAACCTCCATCCAGTGTAAGTTACATTTGGAGTCATGGCTGAAAGTTGCCCAGACCTCAAGGGCTTATTGGCAGATACAAAAACTTGATGAGAGAGAGGGTTGAAGCCAAGGAACTTGGGGTCTGACTTGCTAGGTGATCTTGGGCGCGTTGATCTCTGTCTCTCTGAGGCCTTGATTTCCCCCTTTTCAAACAAAGGTCACAGTTAAAACTTATCAGGAAGACATTGGTATGCACGGGGCATCCCTCTCACTTACTGAGTTGCATCATGCCAAGTGTGTGCTGACGGGCACAGTGCCGGGAAGACAGATGGATGTGACGTGGAACTCACATCCTCCAAGGGGGCCCAGAAAGTGTCTTCTCCAGATTTGCCTTGAGAAGCTTTTCTTGGTATCCCCAGGCCTGGAAGGGAGCCAAGTGGTCATATTGGTTAGTGTCTTCAGGCCATAGATGAGGTCCAGAGAGAGAAGAGTGTTTCTGAGGAAATGGAGGTGAAAGGGAGACTTTCTAGAGCAGGGCTGAGATCCAGAGCTGGGTTCTGAGAGGCCGCGAGGCTCAGCCGAAGCTGAGTGTGGAGGTCCTTCCACCCATCTGCCTGTTCCCGGGACGAGGGAAAGCAGGAGTAGGCTTTGGAGCAATCCCGGAGTCAGTTCCTGGCTGAGGGGACTATCAGCATATCCCCTGGTTGCGCAACCAGTACATTCTCCTCAGGCAGGAGAAGTCCTTGGCCGCCCGAGGGTTTAGGTGAATCCTGTTAAGTCTCTCCAAATTTGTTGATGCAGGTCGGTCCACTCCTCTGGGACCTCTGGGACTGGGTTGGCGAGGCCAGCACAGGACCGCCTTGGTGGTGGCCGTACTAAATGCTGTGTTCTCTGGGCGACCCGCTGGAGACACCTGGCCCAGGAGACAGCTCTGGTGCCACGGCAGGAGTGTTGGATTCGCAGCCCTTGGGTTCAGTCCCTGCCCTTGCACTAACTAACGATAGGCCCTCCATTTCCTCATCCGTCCAAAGGGGATATAACCCTCCGACCCCTCTGTGGGTTGCTTTGAGAAATAATGGAGTTTGTGAGAACATTTTAAAAGTGCATAGCCTTCAAGAGAAAGTGCCATTGCAAAGTGCTAGCCGTGCAAGGTCACTAGTCCCACATCCGTGTTTTACAGATGAGGAAACTGGCCTCAGGGGAAAGTGACCTCAGATCACACAGTGGGGTGTGGGCAGACCTGCTGAGAATCCTTCTCCGTGGTCTCACGTGAAGTCACGTGAACCTGCCCTGTGAGCCTAGCCTCTGCACAGAGGGGCTGCCCCGATGCATTGCTGCTCTCAGTCTCGAGGCCCCAGCGGAGGGCTGAGGTGTCTTTCGCTCAGGCAGTCCCTAACTCCCTTTCTGCACAGGGCACCTCATCTGAATTTGAAGTGGTCGCCGCCGAGGAGCAAAATTCTCCACCGGCGAGTGGTGGCCATGCCAGAAACACAGTGGTGAGTGGACGGCAGGTCCCCAGCAGGTCCCACGTCTCTCTGTTTCAGTCACCCGGCCCTGGCTGAGAGGCACAGGATCTACTGAGATCCCTTGGGCTCCCTAGACTCACTTGGGGATCCACAAGGGGGCCAGGGCAAGGGGTGCTTCTCGCTCTCATATGCAAATTCCTGGCTGGTGACTTCCCCGAGTTAGGCCATTCAGGCACCCGACCATTGAGAAAGCCTGGGCACATTGCCAGCCCTGCTGGTCTCTGCTTCTGCCGGGTGCCTCTATACACTATGACTCAGCTCTGGGGCCTGTGGGCTCCTAGCCTGGGTGGAGTCGAAGGGGGTCAGAGAAGCCCAGAGCAGCTTAAGGCAGGGGATTTATCCTTTTATCCAGGCCCTCTATTCCTCCCAGGCTTCCCCTCAGGGCTTACAGGTGTGTACGTACACACACACACACACAGACACACACACACACACACACTCTCTCTCTCTCCTCTAGCTCTGGGGTGTCTACCCTGCATACTCTTTCTATACCTTACCCCACTTGCTGCCTTTGTCCCACCTATGTCTGCCTCTGCACTCTCTTACAATGGCAGACTTCTTGGAGAACCATTACAAAAGGTCTGGAACATTCTTCGAAAGTCTTAAAGTCCTGTCCTTTCCTCCTTCACCCTCCCTCTCCACTTTGAGATTTTTGGGTGGTGGTCATAAGACAGTAAGTGGTCTAACTCTTCACCTCGATATCCGTTTCCTCATCTCCCCAAGGCCTAGGAGACAGATGTTGCCCTTTAGTTCATGTTGTATGTGTCAGTCCCCAGTGCAAGGTCCCCATTGAGCGGTCATCCAGCTTACGCTAGCATCCCTTCAGAGATGAGTGGCTCTACACCATATCAGGCAGGTCCGAGTAGTAGAAAGGGTCTGTATATTGTCTCCTGGAAACTCTTGCCCCCGTCTTGCCCTATGCCTGAAGGCTCTGAGATGCTGGCTCAGAGAGTATTTCACTCTCTGACCTTGGACCAATACTTCCATCTTGTTAATAAGTTCTTCCTTAGCCCCGCCATGCACGTAGTCTGTGCCAAGCAAAGACAAGGCAGCCTGGGAGCTTACAGACTGGTTGGAGAAACCAGAGGGATGAAGCAGTTTGTGAGCCTTAACTAGAGCAGCATTCACCACCTCAGATCCTTTGTGGGAAGAGGCAGTGGGGGAATGAATGCAGAATTGAAGAAGCAGCATTATCTCCTATTAGAACAAGGTACTAACAACATCACGTAGGCATCCACTGAACACAGTGTTGTGGCGGTAGGGTGTTTCTAGCTCTGCAGAGTGCAGAGACACGGGAGCTCCATGTGGAGAGCACTGGATTGAGAGCCAGGAAGCCTTAGTTCAGTCCTGGCTCTGCCACTGACTTGCTGGACAACTTTGGGCAAGTTCCTTCTCCCCATCCTGTGGTTTCCGAGCCTGAGCCCTGAGGCTCCCATCGCTCTGACGTCCGTGACTCCTATAAACATTTAGGGGAGGCTGCTCGAGGAGCTGATGTGTGGGCAGGGCCGGGGAGGATGAGCAGGGAGGACCCTGGGGGACCGAAGCCAGAGGAGGCACAGGGCCTAGTGCGTGGAGGCTCAGGCAAGGGAAGGGGGAAGGTGGGGACTCAGGTGCCAGTAAGGATCCTTGGACACAGTGTTGGCGTAACTAAGGCACTGTCTTTGGTAAGAATGTTCTAGACAGAAGAGAGAGAGAGAGAGAGAGAGAGAGAGAGAGGCTGATTGGTTACTGAGATTGGACTGTCTTGCCCAAAGTGTGCTTCGTGTCTTATAAACTCTACTAGATTGGGGTTCTTTGAACTATCTAGAGCAATGGTTCTTAACCTGTTTTGACTCTTGGGTCCTCTGAGAAGTTGATGAACTCTTGGACCATTCCCCAGAAGACACACATACAGGTAGAAGTTGGATTGTTTTGGTCTCTACATGGCTTCCTGGTCAGGAGTCCCCGAGCCGAAGAAGCAACCCCTTTCCTGGGCTTACCGCTTTCATAAGTCAGTTCACCCTCATGAGAACCCGGTGAGGTAGAAGGGAAGGAAGGAGTGTGTGTACACTTAGTAGGTGAGCATTCTGAGACCCGGTGGACAAGTGGATTACCCACAGGCGCTCAGCGAGGCCCGGAGTATGGGAGGAAGGTGGCTCTGCTGCTGGTAAGCCAGCCTGTGGCCTGGGAGCCCCGGGTCCTGCCCCGTGAGTCAGCCCCAGACAGGGAACCTGCGTAACTAGAGAATTTCCCTGGGCTGAGCTGGGGTCAGAGGGGAAACTGAGTCATGAGGAATGGGGAAGCAAAGGGAGAATGGTCGGTGGTGCCTACTGAGCCCCTGGTGCAGAGTGATCAGTGCCCCTTCCCTCCCGCCAGGAGTTGGGCCCCCTGCCCCATGAGGACACCAACTTGATGCTGCACCTGCAGCGCCTGGAGACCACCCTGAGCGTGTGTGCCGAGGAGCCCGACCACAGCCAGCTCTTCACCCACCTGGGGCGCATGGCCCTCGAGTTCAACCGGCTGGCATCCAAGGTGCACAAGAACGAGCAGCGCACCTCCATCCTGCAGGTGAGGCCAGCAGGTGGGAGGGCTGCCAGGACGGCAGATGTGCCCCCCCGCCCCCCCCCCGCCTCCTCCAGCTCTTATGGGGATCGGACGGTACTACGGGCACGTCTGGGGGTGATGTTGGGGACTGACTCTGGGCTTGCTGTTCAGGCTGGTGAGCAAGGTAAGGAAGTTGTGGGAAGGCAGGAGGAAGAGGAAGGAAATTGGAAAATGTGGGTGGGCAATGCAAATGCCATGGTTGGGGATACCCTCGGGGTGGGGATGTGGGCAGGTTTGCCGCAGCCCCACCTCTGGTCTTCACACGTTGGGTGGGGGGAGGAACAAAGGCCGGCCTGTATGTTATTGCCCCTCCCCCCTGTGGTGGTACTTCGGTGGCGGGGGGGGATGATTATTTTGCCTAAGGTCCCCCAGTCGGTGGATGATACCGTTGATTCAAACCTCAGTCTGTCATGTTCCAAATGCCATGCTCTTAACCATCATCCTAACCTGCCTCTCCCCACTGGGGGGCTTTCTTTCACAACCTTCCCTGTGCCATGGCAGTGAAGTCAGATCTCCTTCCTAGGCCAGGCCAGCCCTGCCCTTGGGACAGAATGGCCCTTGGTGCCAGCAGGGACTTTTTTTTTTTGCTGTATGACCATGGACAGGTCACTTGTCGTCTCTGCCCCGCACTGTCCCTGTAGGTAACATGGAGTTGGGGATGCTTCCGTCGTGGGATGGCTGTATTAACGAGGCGCCCCGGGCAACCTCATACATGGCACGTGGGCACTGTTGGGGTTTCGTGGTGATTGGTCATTCATACCGGGCAGGGGACCATAGCCTCAGGGGCCTGGGTAGGGAAGGGTTCACAGATGGCAAAACTGAGGCTTGGAGAGGACCTGAGCGCCCGACACCTTAGTGACAAGGCATAACTTGAAGTCTCCTCCCTCCCTCCTAGACCATGCCAGCCACTGGCCACTTACTGATCTGTGGTCCTGTTCGTGTCAGCAGACATTAGAGATATTCCAGTTGATGGGGGAGAGGGGGGGCGGACGTCTACCGGGTGTCACCTTGGGAAGGGCTGGGTTGACGGGCAAGAGGGGCGTCCAGGCTGGAGACAGGTGTGAGGAGAGAGGTGAGGGTCAGAGGACTCGGTGGGGAGAGGGGGGAGAGGGCGGTACTCCCATCCCACCTTGCAGGAGGGGTATGTTGAGGGAAGTGACCAGAGCATGCTGTGAGGGCCTGGGGGCGCCAGGCTGAGGGAGACACCCTTCTGATGCCAGGGGCTCAGGGGTGTCAGCGCTGAGCTCTAGGGAGGTGACCCTGGTGCGGTTCGTGGAGTAAGATCACTCTGAGTGTCAGCATTTTGGCTCTGATGTGGAGATTGATGCCCGGCCTCGTAAAAGGGGGCCCTGCCAGCCTTTTGGTGTTTTTCATGTATGGAGCTCCTGTGTGTGTTTCCTTCTTAGTTCTTATCATAGTTTGTGATAATTCTATCTCATTACATGGCTTATTCACTTTGTGTTTGATTTTTCCCCTGCGCTCCCTGTTAGCATGTAAGTCTCATGGGGTGGGGGTGGGAGCCGGCACCTTCTCTGCCATATTCACCACATAGCCCAGTGGCCAGCACTTAACAGGGGCTTCATGTGCAGTTTTAAGTGAGTAGTGAATCAAATGACCTCACAGGTGAGGTCTGTGGGGCCCTTTGATGGAAGCTGACGACCTTTGTGACAGCCTCTCTCTATCGGCTATTTTGTGCTCAGGGAATTTGCCCAGAGACTCTAGGAAGCTGCCCTCGGGTCCGGAAGGGTAGACAGCACGTGAATCCTTGTCCCGACCTTCCCTTAGTGACTGGGAACAGGATGTTTTGTTTCCATCCAGGGCCTTGGCATCCTGGGTATTTGCCTAGACTGTGGGTGGAGGCACAGGAGTCCAATTCCTCCGTATTTATTCATTGATTTGTTTCTTGGTTCATTCAACAAGCATTGTCACAGCCAGGTATGGCGCAAGGCCTCTGCTAGACATTGGAACCAGTCACCATGGTTTTCATTCTCTCGGCCTCGGGTCCTTCATGTCCTCCCAGCCTCCATTTCCAGGCTGCCTCCTCCATGCAGCCTTCCCAGGTCTCCCCTGTGTTAGTCAGGAAGGGCTAGATTTTGCTGTGGATGCAGACAGCTCTGAAATCTCCCTGGCAAACATACAGTTTTCCCTCAGATTCCACGTGGCAGGGGTTTGTTTCTGTGCCTCAAGTTTGTTTACTCAGAGGCCCAGGCAGAGACCCCACCATCTCATGCACTTTGCTATATGAGGCAGCCGCAGCCACAGGGGAGAGAGACCAAAGAATTGTTCCTGGGGCCAGCCCAGAAGTGGACTCGGGCAGCAGCCACTCACTTTAACTGGCCACAAGTAATCACATGGTCACAGAGAGCCCAGGACAAGGACGGGGAAGGGAGCAGGAGGAATGCACTGAGTACCTCCGGTTCTGCCCCAGCCCAGCTACAGACCTTCTCGCCCGTCTCTGCGCACTGTCCGCACGGCACACCGGGGCAAGGTCTGCCATGTGAAGCGCGGTCCCAGCGGCGATTCTTAGCAGCTGTGCAACCTCATGCAAATTATTTCACCTGCGCTGACCCACTTTTAAAACAGAGATGACTTACATGGCTTTGGGGAAGCAGTGAGGCGCCAACGAGGCAGCGAGTGTAAGAGCACCTAGCCACGGATGCATCATGTACCAGGTGCTCACTGAGTATTTGCTAGAAGTAGGTAACTTCATTCCGACGTGGTGTATCACATTACTGGTGGGCACCTCCCTGCCCGCCCCGTCTGCGGGGCCCGGGGTCTGGCTACCCATCTTCCTGGCCCCCCCACCCGCCTCGAACAGGAGGCCTCAGCTACAACCACGTGACTGGCAGATCACAGGGCACTTGCAGTCTGGCCATCTTGTTTGTCCTCGAAGCAGCCCTGTACAGGAGGCCGAGAAGGAACAGTTGTCCCCATCCGGAGAGGAGGGAACCGTGTCTCAGCAGTGAGGCAAGCCCGAGCCACACCTGAGAAATTGCCGAGGTCTTGACCGAATGCCTTGTTTTCCACCTTGCCATTTGACATTGCTAGAAGCCCCTCACATCCTCCAGACTGACTGAGCTTGGGGCCTCCTAAGACTTTTTCATTCATTCATTTGGCCATTCAATCATTCTGTTGTGCATTCCTTCAGCAGAGTTCCTTTTGCTAGGTGCTGAGCTGGACTGGGGTCCTGGGAGGGGGTCCCAGCCCTCTGGGACCTCACAGACTAGTGGGGGGACTGGGGAGTGGACATTAAGAAAATAATGACACATGAGGCGCCTGGGTGGCTCAGCTGGTTGAACGTCCGACTTCGGCTCAGGTCATGATCTCATGGTTCGTGGGTTCGAGCCCCGCGTCGGGCTCTGTGCTGACTGCCAGCTCAGAGCCTGGAACCTGCTTCAGAGTCTGTGTCTCCCTCTCTCTCTGACCCTCCCCTGCTCACACTCTCTCTCTCTCTCTCTCTCTCTCTCTCTCAGAAATAAATAAAACATTAAAAAAAAAAGAAAAGAATGACATAAGTGGTTCTTCCACTGTAATTGTCACAGGCACCAAGGGTGACCAAGGATGATAATGTGGTGACCTAACTCACCCGAGATGTGGGAGTCAGGGAGGACTTCTCTGAGGAGGTGATGTTCAGACTAAGACCCGAAGCAAGAGTAGAAGGGAGCGGGGGGAAGGCCGTGGGGGACGCGTGTTCTACGCTGGAGTAAGGGCAGTACAGGAGGAGGGATGGAGCTCCCTCCCCAGGAGGACCACAGGCCCCGGGGCTGACTCTTGGTCGGGCATCCTCATGGCTGGCTCCCGAGGGAGAGGATGCCTCCAGGAGCCTGCCTGGGCCTAGTACCCGGGCCTCCAGCTGTCCTGAGACGGATTGGGTGTGGCCACGCACAGGGGGTAATGTGTTGGGGCCTGGCGTGGCTCTGTCCTCCGTCATCAAGTGGCATTCAGGATGCATCCCTTCCCTCACCTTGCGTCCGTCTACTCTCTGCCTTGCAGACCCTGTGTGAGCAGCTTCGGAAGGAGAATGAGGCCCTAAAGGCCAAGCTGGACAAGGGCCTGGAGCAGCGGGATCAGGCTGCCGAGAGGCTGCGGTACGTCCAGGCTCCTCAGGAGTGAGGAGTCAGGTGGGCAGGAGGAGAGGGATAGTACGCGGCACTGATTTCTGGGCTGAGGGCTTTGGATGTCAGGTTTTTTGGTCCTTTTCCTTGGGTACCTTGGTGTTTCCTCTCTGGCCCTTCTAATACCTTCATAAAGTGCTTTGAGAGCTTCAGAAGAAGGTGTGTACAAATCACACTCCTTCCCTGGGAACTTCCCCCCCCCCCCCCCTTAGCGTGTTAGCAGCCACCAGGCCGCTGTTGGGAGAGGACTCAGGACTTTGCTGCCCTCTGCTGGTCACCATCGTGTCCTGCTGTTTTCCTGCCAACTGTCAGGGGTCCCTCATTTGCCTACTGGTCTCAGACTTCATTGTGCCTCAGGATCACCGAGGGTCAGGGTGCACATTACAGCTCCACACTCCCACTCCTCCCTCCCCTGCTGAGATTCTGCTTCAGTGGGTGTGAGGCCGACCCAGGCATTTTCCCAGGGATTACGGTGTAGGTGGACCCAGGACCACACTTGAGAAACACTGCCTGATTGTCCGAGTTTGAAGGGCCCTTTGAGACTATGCAGGTCAGACCTCTCCCTGTGCCCAGGGAGACTGAGGCCCAGAGAGAGTAATATGTAACCACTGAGCCGCTGTGCCATTTTGAAGCAGTGTTTATTTATTTACTTCCGGATGGCCAAACAGTTGGGAGTTTTAGAGCCATAATGACTCCATCCACAGATCCAAAACCCCGGGTTGGAGGAAAGACTCATAAGTAGAAAGCAAGAGTGCAAGTGCTGTGTGACCTTGGGAAAGCCACTTTACTTGTCTGTTTCTCTGTTATTGCATGGAAACTTAGCTGGCAAAGAGAACGTAAAGAAATATTTTTCCTACTTCAGTCCTACCTGAATCCATATCACCACTTTTATTATGTCCTATATCACCTACCTTATTGATTTAAGGATTCACTTCAATTTGAATAATGTTTTTACTTAAAGTTATTGTAAAGAGAAGCTGCACTGGAGTTCATGGAAAACAGCATTACCGTCAACAAATAGCAGACAGCCACAACAATAAACACAATGAACATGGAAGGGTGTTAATAAATTCTGGCAAACCACCACCGCCCACTGAAAACTCTGAGCCTGAAGCCTGCCCTTTTCCTGTGAACAAGGGAGGCCGGCAAGTCATGGAGGAGAGCTCAGGACTTGCTGGCAGCAGCAGAGGCTGCACCCGTGCTCTACCCGAGACGTTTGAAGCTGATTGGAAAGGGTGTCCCCTTTCTCACTGGAGTGTGATCAGGGTTATCTGATGCAGGTTTGGCAGCATCTTGGCGATCCCCTGTATGCAGACCTCCCACAGCTGGGAAACCCTGCTGTCGATGATAAGAGACTTCCAGAGAAGCCCAGATCACCAGCAAAGTGGCTTAAGGACGACTTCTTTTGTTCTATCCAAGGGCAGGTTTAAGGGTCCCAGGACTCAGCTGCATGTCAGATGAGTCATAGGTCTGAGGGCCCCGGGCTCCTTTACATGGGGCCAGCAACGTGACGCCTCTCTGTTTGCCTCCGACACAGGGAGGAAAACATGGAGCTCAAGAGGTTGTTGATGAGCTGCAGCAAAGAGGACGCCTGTGGGCAGCCGGGTTTCCCAAAGATGGAAGGCATGGGCAAGAAGGGGGTGGCTGTACAGCAGCAGGTACGTGGTCATATAGTTCTTCCTCAGCGTCCTGGATCGCCAGTGTCTAGCCACCTCCCACGGCGGTGAGGTCACCACCTCCCTCCATAGCCAGTTCTACTGTCACAGGGCTCCTGTTCGATGGCTTTTCCTCAGCTGGGCCTGACAGTGCACCTGCCCCAGAACTTCCGCTCCTCAGCCCTCGTTCTGCCTTGAGCCACACAAAACATCCCACTTTCTGAGACACACACTCAGGCTGCTGGCCATGACTGTGGCCTCGTGGTCCCTACGGGCCTTCTCTCCAGGCTGCGTCATTTCATTTCCTTCCGCCATTGCTCAGAGAAGGTGGTGTTGAGTCCTTCGCTCAGCTTGGGCTCATTCCCTAAACATATTCCAGTTTGTGAAGGTCTCGTGGGCGGGTCTCAAAAGTCAGTGTAACAGCTCGGATATTCCTGGCGGAATTAGGGTGTTAGGGTGTTGGGTTGAGAAAGCCCGTCGGGACTCTGTTAAGCTCCAGGGATTGCTTCCTGGAGCCTCTGACCTGGATAGGAGTGGGGGTTACCTGACACTGCCGTGGCCTGGCACCCCTACCCACGGCTGCTCTCGGCTCTGCCCCACGCCCGCTTCCCAAGCAGAAGCTCACTTTCCCCCTTGTCCGGTCTGTGCCTTTCCCCTTGGTGTGGAGCTCAGTCCCAACCTTTTACCGACACGTTTCCCCCTTTTATTAGGGTTTAATGGCCGCACGGCAGGACTCAACATCTTTAACAAACCCCCCACCTATGTAATAGCAGTAATTATCCTAATAACTTAATTCCTCACTACTGTGTGGCAATGCAGCATTTACCTGGGACTTGCAACTCCATCATCCTATTGGGATCTCCGCTCTACACCTATGTGAGGCAGGGCGGGGACTATTACTCCATGACACAGCGGTGGTAGAAGGTGTGGAGGCCATGTGATTTCCTGTCATCAAGAGCCCTGCATCACCTGCTATCAAGCAGACAGAGGGGTGCCTCAGGGAGACTCGCTGATAAATGGCCTTCTGAATTCTGGCCCAGGAAGCCCCTCCCTGCCTCTGTTTATCCCTCAGGACAGAGCCTACCTTGGCTGTCTCCTCAAGGAAGTAACTCGGGGAGCCCCCTGATCCCCGCGGGTTCCCTGAGCCACCACGGGATTCTGTGGGCAGGCCTCTTCGCTTTTGGGAGCCCTTTAATGTCAACTAGCCTCTCTGAACTCCCCGGAGGTCCGGTCCTTCTTACCGTCCTGCCGGGTATGAAGGCCCCATACAAGGCACACGTGTGGGCCGCGGCGGACCCTGTGCCCCGGAGCTGCCTCAAGCCAGCACAGCCACTGTGACTGAGTGACATAAACCAACCGTCTGGCCTCAGTCTCTTCTTCTGTAAAATGGAGGCTGCGACACCTAGCTCCAAGGATGCTGGGAGGGGTCAGTGATATGATACCTGTAAAGCAGGTGTAGCGCCGGGCAAATGGGAAACAGCAAAATTAGCTGCTGCTTTTAATACCCACTTTGGTGCTAGCAGCCAGGTGGGCTGACTCTTCTCTTCTTCTTCTTCTTCTTTTTTTTTTTTTTAAGTTTATTTATTTATTTTAAGAGAGGGACAGAGAGAGAGAGAGAGGGAGAGAGAGAATCCCAAACAGGCTCCACAGCAGCAGCGCCAAACCCGATGTGGGGCTCAAACTCACCATCTAGGAAATCATGATCTGAGCCGAAACCAAGTCGGAGGCCTAACTGACTGAGCCACCCTAGCGCCCCTGACTCTTCTCTTCTTTGTAGAGGTTAAGGGTGACCCCCCTCCCTCAAGAGACCCTGTCCCCTCTTCCTCCTTGCCCTGTGAGGACACAGCAGGCTTCTAGGGGCTGCCCATCTCTCACCTTTCTCAAAGGTGGCCGTCCTTAGCGGGCTCCCCCAGCCCACTGCCCTTCCTCCCCGGTTCTGTGGTGTGCTGGCAGACGCTAGCCTGCAGGGGAAACTTGAGCCTCACTAGTCCTGCATTCAGGGACCCTCCCCCAGCCCCCCACAGCCCTGAGAGAGGGCAGAGGTGTGGGAAGGAGGGGATAGAGAGAATGTGGGCAGTGACCCCAGGACAAATGCTGACAAGCCCACGGGTGTCAGGGATTGGGGCCTCCAGAACCCATCTTGTTTGATCTCCCTTGTACCAGGGCCCAGAGAGGGCGTGGGTCTTGGCCTCCTGCCGGGCCGTGGAGGCAGACCCAAGACTCCACTGCTGGGCTTCTAAGCTCATTCTATGTCACCTCAGCATTTCCTATGTAAAACAATTTTTTTTTAACTTCTAAAGAACTTCAGATTTACAAAAAAACAGTTGCAAAAGTGGTCCAGAGACCCCCGGTGTCCCCTTATCAAGTTACGTAACCACAGTTCAACGATCAAAACTAAAAAAATAAACACTATTAATGAAACCACAGACTTTGTTCAGATTTCACCAGTTTCCCGCTCATGTCCTCTTTCTTACGTCCCGTGCTGGCGCTGGGAGTCCAGGATCCCACACTGCCCTTGGCTGTCACACTCCTTAGTTCCCTCCAGTCCATGACAGTTCCCAGCTGCGCCTTGCCTCTCACGCGCCTGGCACTTCTGACTTACACTGGCTGGTTATTTTGTAACACGTGCCTCAGTGTGGGTTTAACGATGACCAGATTAAGGGTGATCAGATTAAGGGTGTGAATTTGTGCAAGAACACCCTAGGAATGGCACCATGCCCTTCACAGTGCATCATGTCAAGGATACGTGATGTCAGTGTATCTGACTACTGTCGACGCTGAGTGCTGGCCTAAGGGGGCGTGTGTCGGTTTCTCCATAATACAGGGGCTAATTTTCCCTCTGTAGTTAATAAATCCTCTGCAGAATCAGTGCAGAGCCCGACATGGGGCTCAAGCCCATGAAACTGAGATCATGACCTGAGCCAAAATCGAGACGGATGGGATGCTTAACCGACTAAGCCACCCAGGTGCCCCAATAAATACTTATTTTTGAGGAGAAACTTTAAGTCTGTGTAGATGTCCTGTTCCTCCTTACACTTGTCACTGATTTTAGTATCATTGGGTCACACCTGCAGCGATCATTATTACTGTAGTGTTCTCACGGAGATTTTGAACTTCCCCCATTCCCTTTTTACTCAATAATTGGAATTCTTCTGTAAGGAAGAGTTGCCCCTTCTCCCCCACTTATTTATTTGTTCAGCTATTCCTTGTTCAAATAATTTCAGCTTTGGCCACAGGAAGCTCTTTCAGGTTGTCTCTTTTGCCCGTTAGACATGCCCTTCTTCCTATAATGATTATCGAGTACTTTCTTACCTTCTGGCACAAGCTCTCCTTATGTTCTCCGTGCCCCTGGAATGAACCACTTCTCTAAGGAACCCTATTTCTTTAGAGAAGGACAGTTAGAAACCAAGATCTGGACCCCGGGCGTGCTCATTGCCTCTGGAGTGCCATGGCTATAGGCCTTCTCAGAGGACAGAGCTAGGAAACACACGCACAGGTACTAAGCACACAAACACATACATCTTTATTTCTGTATCTTTCTAAAAAGCTCTTCAAGTAAACATTTTATAAAATGTTATGACTCTTGCCTTCCAGGTCAGAAGACGTTTGGTTGATGCGTGTTGGGGGAGAAAAGGGGAGGGAGGGTGGCAGTGCCTTAGAGATAGAGTCTGAGCGAGGGAGTAAGTGGCCGTGGGAAGGGAGCAGAGGGCAAGAAGGCAGGGGAGGAGGAAGAGTGATCTCGACAGACCTTGCAAAGCGGGCTCAGTCATGGCGGGGATGTGTGGTGGTGTCCTGGCCGGCGAGTGGATTAGCAACGTGGGAGACCCAGGGCTGGGTCTCTGGGTAAATGCACTGAGTGAGTGACAGAGTAGTTCTTCGAGGCTTTGCTGAAGGCTCCTCTGTGTCTCCCCCCAGGCTTGTGTGACAGCAGGTAAGATCTCAGAGCTCGGGGCCTTGGGTGCAGCTGAGAAGAAGGTGAAGATGCTGGAGCAGCAGCGCACTGAGGTAGGCAGCCAGAGGGGGTGGGGGCGGTCAAGGGAGACCCTCCACTCCTCCAGGGACGGGACTGTCAGCACAAAGGCCCTCCCCGGCCCCCTGTCTCGTCCCAGATTGCCATGGCGAGTTGCTCTGGTGGCTGCTGAACCACCTGCCCATGGGAGAGACTGGCTGCTTGTCCTGGGTTCTTTTTTCTCGATCCATTCCCCTGTCCAGAGTGGCCACTCTGAAGATGTGGCATTTGGGGCATGGCCTAACATTGTTGGTGGGGGATAGTTTAGGCAGGCTCCCCTGGTAAGCCCTGGATGGTAGAAGGCAGCTGTGATAAGGTAGGAAAGCTGCAGCATCAGGAATGGGGAGCATGGGGTTCCTCTGTCACCCCGTAGCCGGTTCAAGAAGGGACTGTCACAGAAGGAGAAGATCCGACGCCCCCTTACAGCCCTGCTTCTAAGTGGCTGGATGTCTCCCAGATTGAGGCTATGCCCTTGTGTGTCACTCATACCCCTCCTCCACCCCCCACCCCAGGCCGGTGTTTCCAGACTGGAGTTGGAAGCCAGATTCCTGTCTATTCTCTTAGGTCCTCCTCTCCACACAGCCCAGGTTCCTCTTCAGATTCCTGGGCCTCGCTGCCCTCCCTGGGCCTCCATCTAGCACATTCGAAGGTCAGGCCTCCATTAGTTTTTTGCTTACGTACCTATCAGTTTTACTTTTCTTTTTGTATTGCTGTAAGGTATTTATTATGATTACAAAAGTAATATGACGCTCATCCGAACAAGACTGAGAACCTCCCCGCCTAGACCTGCCCACAGTTGGCGCAGTCCTACATTCTATTATGTACTTAACAACTCATACACTATTTTTAAAAATAAGCAGAAAAATGGGGCACCTGGGTGGCTCAGTTGGTTAAGTGTCTGACTTTGGCTCAGGTCATGATCTTGCAGTTCATGAGTTCAAGCCCCATGTCGGGCTCTGTGCTGACAGCTCAGAGCCTGGAGCCTGCTTCAGATTCTGTGTCTCCCTCTCTCTCTGCCCCTCCCCTGCTTGCACTCTGTCTCTCTCTCTCTTTCAAAAATAAATAAACATTAAAATTTTTTTTAAAAACAGAAAAATTATATTCTATATACTGCATTGCAGATTACTGTTTTTCTTTTCTCCTTTGAAATTAACTATATCTTTGAGGATATTTTTTTTTTTTTAATTTTATTCCCAGGAGAGAGAGAGAGAGAGAGCGTGAGCAGGGGAGGGTCAGAGAGAGAGGGAGTGACAGACTCCGAAACAGGCTCCAGGCTCTGAGCTGGCAGTCAACACAGAACCCGACGCGGGGCTCGAACCCACGAACCGCGAGATCATGACCTAAGCGAAAGTCGGACGCTCAACCGACTAAGCCACCCAGGCGCCCCTGAGGATATTTTTGTACAAAACATACATTTCTCCAGTTCTGAGTACTCTTTATCGTGTTACTGTGTCTGAAATTGGGATACCTTTCCCCATTGTTTTTTGTGGTTAATGATGTAGGATTGTTTTTCTTCCCTGAGGAGCTGTTCTAATGCATATGGCAAATCACGGTTGCACATGTGCTCTGCAGTTGTACCCCCAAGTTATATAATGCTCCTTTGCTGCTCATCTTGCTAACCCGGCAAGGATAAAATATAGCAGCTGGTAAAGCTTCCTCCTTGGGGAAGCCTGAATTTCCGAGAAGAGAGGGTTTGAGGCAGTGTCCGTGGCCACCGTCCTCACACACACACGGCTGGTCTGCGTGGAGTTGTCCCTCTGTTCCTTTGCCACCTTCCCTTGCTAACCGCAGCCTCTCTCCACAGCTCCTCGAAGTGAACAAGCAATGGGACCAGCATTTCCGGTCCATGAAGCAGCAGTATGAGCAGAAGGTACTAGGGGGTCAGGGGAACTCAGGCTGTGAACCCCAGGTTCCTCGCTGTGGGGTTGGGGCGTCCCTGGTCTCCTGCCTGCTGCTTCCTTCTCAGGAGCTCTGAACCTTCGAGGTTCACCCCTTCCCTCACGCACTCCCCCTCTCTGCCTTTGAACCCAGATCACAGAGCTGCGCCAGAAGCTGGCGGACCTACAGAAGCAGGTGACTGACCTGGAGGCTGAGCGGGAGCAGAAGCAGCGTGACTTTGACCGAAAGCTCCTCCTGGCCAAGTCCAAGATTGAAATGGAGGAGGCGAGTTGACTGCTGGTCCCTGCAGCTTCTGCTCGGGAGGCTGCTCTCCCTGCCTCATTAGCCGAGAACTCCGTGAAGTAAAGGGGCCAGGGGCTGGAGTGGGAGACCTTGGGGCCCCATCTCTGCCTCCAGTGCCCAGGGCTATGGGGCCATCGGCAAAAGCACTTTCCTCTCCTATGCCACGTTTCCCATCTGAAAAGTGAGGAGATTGAATTAGCATTGCTTTCCAGGGTATTTTCGTGTTTTCATGTAGAAGAGCTTTTTATTAAGTTTATTTATTTTGAGAGAGTGTGAAGGAGGAGCAGAGAGCAAGGGAGAGGGAGAGAATCCCAAGCAGGGTCTGCACCGCCAGCAAAGAGCCCACCCAATATGGGGCTCGAACCCACGAACCACGAGATCATGACCTGAGCCAAAGTCTGACGCTTAACCGACTGAGCCACCGAGGAGCCCGCATGCAGGAGAGCTTTTTGTTCACGTACGATCTTATGGATGAGGGAGCTGTACAGGGAAGCACAGAGTGAATTAAGAGACACACGCAGACTGCCCTGGTACACTTGCTGGGGCTGGGCTGCTGTTTGGGGTAGTGATGGCTGTTTGGGGGCGGGGCAGCTAAGACATTAGGTAGGGCTTCTTTTCTTCACACTTTGAGTGACTACTCAGCACAGTGTGCACTTGGCACTGTGCTGGGCACAGAGAGTCTGCAGCAAACAGACCAGTCCTGCCCTTGGTGGGAAACAAACGCTCAACAGCTCATTACAGAAGCAAATAAGTAGAGGTGTGTTAAAGTACCACAGGAGGAGTTACAGGGACCAGGGAGACCAGGAGAAATAGTATGTGGCTGGGCGGTGTGTGGCTGACAGCAGCCAAAGCGCCCCAGGATCCTGGGACAGCTTGAAGGGAAAAGGCCAGTTGACCCGCAGACCCTCAGAAGATGGTATCGATATCACAGTGTCATCCCGTTCATGGGCACTGGGCACAGGCTGCTTTTGCCTGGCTTAGAAATGGACGTTTTCAACACGAATTGCGTTTCAGAGTTCCCCGTGTCAGCATGTGACACCCAGGGGCTTTAGCTGAGGGGTCCACCTGCCTCAGTGACTAGCCCTTGACTTGAAGGTATGTGTGTTAGGGACGACACTGCCAGGCTTTTCCCCAAGCGCCGTCACACCTGTGACCATCAGCCAGACCCCTGGCTCTTTGGTCCCTTCCCCCAGCTCATATCAGTAGGCGAAATAAGTCCTTGGCATGGGAAAGTCCCCCATTACCTGGGGGGAGGTAGGATGTCGCAAGACAAAGCATGGCCCTGTGATAGGGACACGTGGTGATAGAGGCCATGCTAATCGTGGAGCCTCTTGAGTAGGAATCCAGAACACCTCCCCCGAGCTCTGCCCAGCGCTGCCCTCCCGGATCTCTGGCTGACCTCCCCTATTTGAAGCAATGCCTTTGACTTGCAAAGGCAGAGGGAGCCCTGGAATTAGGAGACCTGGGTTCTGGCCCCAGCTCACTGTGTGTGGCCTTCAATGAGTCCCCTCCCTTCCCTGGACATTTCATTTTCCGTCACACGGAGGGGCTAAGATTTGGTGCGCTCTAAAGACCAAGCCATCTGTGGCCCTCTGCGGTGAAGGAGCCCTGCCTGTTCTGTAGTGGGTGTGGGAGCAGTGCTTCCACCTGGAAGCCTTCCCTGGTTTCTTCTCAGCTGTGATGCCCTTTCTTTGAACCTCACAGAACTTTGTTTCTCTGTGGAGGAATGCTCTCTGCCTTGTATGCTGCATTCCTTTCTTTAAGGCCCCTCTCTCCTCTAGGCTTAAGAGACTGTAAGAACTAAAAGGTCTTTAGAGATTCTCAGTGGTTTATCACTTTCTGGGTATCACAGAAGACCCCTATGCGATTCTCATGGACACTATGGCTTTTCTCCCTAGAAAATTGCACAGACAAAATTTTGCATCCTGTTTTGGGGCTCTCAGACCTCCTGACGCCCATCTGTGACTCACATTAAGAACCTCCCCTACCTGGCATGCCTGGGCAGCCCAGTCAGTTAAGCGTTCGCTTCAGCTCAGGTCACGATCTCATGGTTTGTAAGTTCAAGCCCCTCATAGGGCTCTCTGCTGTCATTGCGGAGCCCACTTTGGATCCTCTGTCCGACTCCGTCTCTTCCCCTCTCCCCACTCACATTTTCTCCCTCCAGTTTTTAAGATAAACATAAAAAAGAACCCCCTACGCATGGTAGATAGGTGAGCATAAAACCAGAGAGTACCATGACAGTGGCCAAGGTCTCAGCTTGTTGGCAGAGGAACTGGCGTCAGAACCCAAGGTCTTTCACTCAACCCAACTGCCTTTTCCTTGAGGACAGGACCTTACGGGCCTCGCGGCTCTGATGCCGGGGGGCCTTGCATGGTGCCTTCACATGAGCATTGGGGGGACTTCTGAGGGAGTGGTGGAGAGGAGGTGCGGCTGAGAGGGTGGGCAGGAAGTGCGGGGGGCCCAGGCTTCGCAGAGGGGTTCCCGGCTTACCAACCCTGTATCCCCTGCAGACCGACAAGGAGCAGCTGACAGCAGAGGCCAAGGAGCTGCGCCAGAAGGTCAAGTACCTGCAGGATCAGCTGAGCCCACTCACCCGGCAGCGAGAGTACCAGGAAAAGGAGATCCAGCGACTCAACAAGGTGGGCGCCCTGGGCACACAGGCCTCCCTGAGCCCAGATGCAACATTCCCCCCACCGCCAGGACCCCAGCCCCCCAGTCAGGAGGGGTGACCCCTGGGTCAGCGAGCTGTGCTGAGGGCCTCCGCGCAGCCTCGCGGCTCCCGCTGTCTTTGCCTCCCCCTCCCCGAGTGCCGAGTGGCCAGCCCTGGCATGTGCCTGTGCTCCCTTCAACCGCCAGGCCCTTGGGCGAGCCCTTTCCTCACAGGGCCCCACTCTGCTCGTCGCTCATCATTCAGGCTCAGTTCTAACACCACTTCCTCTGCAGGGCCTCCCTGGAGTCTCATTCAGGTCCTCCTGTTCTGTGTTCCTAAAGCACCAGAACCTTCTTGAATTCCCCTTCTGGTCTCTTCTTGCAATTGCCTGTTTAATGGTCTGTCTCCCAGTGGGGGGAGGTACTCATCTTCACCAGCACATGTACCTCCAGTGCCTGGCACCAAGCGCAAGCTCAGGACACAGCTGAGCACAGCCCGAGGTTCCTGCCCTTGAGAATTGGGACCCGGGGAGTGTGGTGCCTGGGTGGAGGCCGGGTTTTAAAGCAGAAACCCGCTGCTTTGGGCCAAGGCGAGGGGGCAGGGGGCAGGCCAGTTCCTTTCCTAGCTTAGCCAGTCCAGCCTCTCTGAGTCTCAGTTTTGGACGCCTTCGAGACCCACCCACCTTCCAGCACAGGGGTTAAAGTTGTGCACTGACCAGAGGAAGCATTGAAGGCCTCCTTTTCGGAAGAGACAAGTTCTCTGAGGGCCTGGAGTTGTCTCTGGTTCATCTTTTCCTCCTTGCCCGGCTCTCTTCCTCTCCCTCCTGCCGCCTGACCGGGCTCACAGCGGCTCTGGCATGAGTTTGGCCACAGCCCTGTTAGGGTAACCCTTTCCATTTGGTTTTGGAGTTGATAAGCATTGATTGTGCCAAGTCTGGGGGGCCCTGGGACCTATTCTCAGAGGAAAGAATGACCTGTCCTGAACTGGGGGGCTTGGGGTCTAAATCCAGGCACAGTGTTGTACATAGTGGCAGATCACGGAGATGACTCAGATGGGATCAAGTTTCCCTGGCATAGCTGGGGACAGAGACACGGGTGTGGGTGAATGATGCAAGGCAAGTGACGTGCTTTGCTTGTGACCTCACTCACGTCCCTCCCTGTCCCTGGACCTCAGTCTTCTCATCTAAAATATAGATGGAGGGCCGCCTGGGTGGCATTGTTAAGTGTCTGTCTTCAGCTCAGGTCAGGATCTCATGGCCTGTGAGTTCAAGCCCGCATCAGGCTCTGTGCTCACAGCTCAGATTCTGTGTCTCTTTTTCTCTGCTCCTCCCCTGCTCATGCCCTCTCTCTGTCTCTCTCTCTCTCTCTCAAAAATAAACATCAAAAGATTAAAAAATACTAATAATAAAACATAGGCAGGTGGAGTAGGAGGATACAGCGGAGTCCTAACTTGCCCTTGCAGCGTCCTGGGCTTACTCTGGCTCAGCGGTTTCCTTGGGTTTCTGGGAAAGTCAAGGAGACTGAGTGGGGACCCAGGTCCAAGCTGGGGAAGGTCTTCCTTACTCCCCACCGTCTAGAGAGGCACTGTGGGCACTGCTAATGCATGGCGAGCGGAAGCGCCGATGCCCCAGGGGCTAAGTGCGGGTGGCGATGAGGTGGCCGGTGGTGAGTAGGGTTCCAGGCTAAGTGCGAGTGGCGATGAGGTGGCCGGTGGTGAGCAGGGTTCCGGAGTTCTCAAGGAACATGTCCACCAAGCTGAAGGAGAACATCAGCTAATAGAGACCTTTTTAAGAAGGTGGGAGCACACTGTTTTCATACAGGAAAGTATTCTGTGAGCATAGTAGAAAAGGGTGCTTTTTCTTTTTTTAGTTTTCAAAATGTTCTTTGGTGCTGTTTCAGCCCATTTCCAGGCTTAGAAAGGCAAAGTATTAAATAAGTCAAAGTTAAAATCCAGTCTAATCTAACTATAGAAGAGTTGCTTGGTAGCCAGGGGTTTGGGAAGCTGAAAATTCTGAGGGCAGGACAGTTGTTGAGGATGTGGGAGCTTCCCCCAAAGAACTTAATAGTCTGCCCAGGTCTGGATGCTAGGGACTGAGCCGCACCTGCCTGGGGAAGGAGAGATGAGGACCCCCATCTAGCCTACTTATAAGCTGTGTGACTTTGGACAGATCACTTCAGGTTTCTGAACCTCAGTTTTCACATCTGTCCAGTGGGAGTGATGATCATAGTCTTTTCTTCCTAGGACTGGGGAGAGGATCCAGAGAAATGCTATGTGTACAGTGTAAATGAATTGAATAGGGTAGCATTTATTAAGTGGTACTGGGGGTGGCCATTATTGTCACTCTTATCAGGAAGGGGGTCACTGAAGGTGAAGGTGACCTCTCCAAAGGGGCCTGACTTCCAGGGCTCTTGCTGATGGGTCTGTCTCCTCTCTTCTCGATCCCAGGCCCTGGAGGAAGCACTGAGCATCCAGGCCTCCCCCTCCTCTCCACCAACTGCATTTGGGGGCCCAGAAGGAGCCGGTGGCCTCCTAAGGAAACAGGAGCTGGTCACGCAGAATGAATTGCTAAAACAGCAGGTGAGCCTGAGAGGTGGAGGTCAGGTAGGGGGCGCTGAGTGGGGAGCTGGAACATTCCTGAGGAGGGGGGGGGGGGGGGGGGGGGGGGGGGGGGGGCCTTGGAATCACGCAGAAGCTGTAATTAGTAGCCCACATTCTGGATAATGGCCAAGACCCCTGTCTGGTTCTCGGTCTATCCTTCCCAGCACTGTATCCCTAACTAGGTCACTCCTCTGTCATCTTTTTGATTTAACCATCTCTGTACCCCACCTGTGCTATTACCTACCTAGTATTTTAAAAATAAATTTTAAATACATTGCTTTCAATAAGTGTATTTAAAAACAAACTTTATGACAATACTATAAATGAAAAATGCTTTATTATTTGCCACCAATAGAAAGTCACCATAAGCAATACGGTAAAAGCAAAGCAGTGTTCTTAAACTCTAGCTGGATAACCTGGCCTAATGAAGACTCTGAACTTGAGTCTGAACTTCGAGGGAAGGGAAGGGAAATTAGTAAGTACTAGAAAGGTGTTGAAGACATGCTAGCATGAACACAGACTCTCTCCCTGCGGGGCACCGAAGGGCCAAAGGGAATTGGAAAGGCTAGAGCTCTCCCACATGTTTCTATTGGATGCTGTGATTTGGAGCCTCCTAAACCATCTCTAACTCAGACAGCATCTCGCTGGTCTGCGTGGGATGTGAAACTGCAGGCGCAGAGGCGGGGAGCCACCCCAGCCCCTTCTGGGCTAGGGCACCCCCACAGCCTGGGAGAGCCCTGTGGGTCCCCTGCTCTCGGAGCCAGGAGACCAAGTCCAGTCCCACACCCACACTCCGGTCCTTTGGCCGCACCTTAGCAGGATTGGACTGGTTGGGGGCTTGTGACGCTCTTCTTTTTTTTTTTTTTTTTTTAAGGCCACAGATACCTTGTTTAAATAAAGCCCGTGTTGAAGCCCGGAATAAGAAATAGAGGGACCCAGAGCCTCTCTCTCGGAAGTGGGGGCTAGGAAGCCAGAGGCGCACTCATTCCCCTCCTCACGATGACTATGAGCTGGGGTAGGCAGTCTGAGCCCCTCGTCCTCACCTCCAGTCCGCCCTCCTCCCCTCCACTCCCCTGCAGGTGAAGATCTTTGAGGAAGACTTCCAGAGGGAGCGCAGTGATCGAGAACGCATGAATGAGGAGAAGGAAGAGCTGAAGAAGCAGGTTGAGAAACTACAGGCCCAGGTCACCATGTCCAATGCCCAGGTGGGAACGGCTGGACAGAGGGAGGGGCAGCTGGCCTGTCCTCATGGGGCGGGGAGGGGGGTGTGGAGGGTCCCTGGTGAGAATGGAAGTCAGGACCCTCGCTGGTTTTCTCCCAGCTCTGCTACCAAATTTCTGTGGTCGTCAGCAAGTCCCTTCCCGTCTCTGACTTTAACTCTGGCCTCCACAATCAGAGCCACCTCCTCTGTCACAGAATGGAAGTAAAGGACACTAACAGGGAAGCAGAGCAACGGGAGGCCCATGTGAGCTCTCCAGACCTGTGCTCAGACCACCCACAGAGAGCAGGCCTGACTTGCAGCCACCAGCCTGGGCTCTGCTCTGCCCCACGGGGACCTTCCCCTCCCCCCAGGCCCTTCCCTGGGGCCGAGCCAGGCGGGCAGCCGAGAGTGGCTTAGGCCCTGGGTCCCAGCCTGGCCAGGGAGCACCTGCACCAAGTCTTCTCTCCCTCCCTCCTTCTCTCAGCTCAAAGCATTCAAAGATGAGGAGAAGACAAAAGAAGCCCTCAAACAGCAGAAGAGGAAAGCAAAGGTGAGGAGGCTTGAGGGAGGAAGCAGCCCTTACCTTATCTTACCTTCGTTAGGGACCTATATATAGTCTGAGGGGAGAGGCAATGTTTGCTCAGGTGTCCAATGATTTAATGAGGTAACGCAGGCAAAGCACTTAGAACAGCACTTCATACAGACTGAGTGCTCGGGACATGTTAGATGTCATAATTGTTATTCTGTGCCCATGTACCAGCTTCCCATGCCCATGTGCCAGCCTTCTGTGTCCATGTACCAGCTTCCCGTGCCCATGTACCAGCTTCCTGTGCCCATGTACCAGCTTCCTGTGCCCATGTACCAGCTTCCCGTACCCATGTACCAGCTTCCTGTGCCCATGTACCAGCTTTCCAAACCCATATACCAGCTTCCCATACTCATAAACCAGCCATCTGTGCCTGGGTACCAGCTTCCCGTGCCCATACACCAGCCACCTGTGCCCAGGTACCAGCCTTCTGTGATTATACACCCAGTCATCTGTGCCTGGGTACCAGCTTCCCATACCCATAAACCAGCCATCTGTGCCCAGGTACCCAGTCATCTGTGTCTATGTACCAGCCATCTGTGCCCAGGTACCAGCTTCCCGTACCCATAAACCAGCCATCTGTGTCCATGTAGAGCCATCAGTGCCCACCTCCCGGCCTTCAGCAAACTAAGGTTCTGGATAGAGAAAGGGAGAGGAGACCGGTGTCGTGGGGGATGGCCCGTGCAGCCTGCCCCGGGCTAGAGTCAGACACGAGCATTGCTTACAGGCCTCAGCGGAGCGCTACCACATGGAACCCCACCCAGAGCACGTCTGCGGGGCCTATCCGTACGCCTACACACCCATGCCAGCCATGGTCCCACACCACGGCTTCGAGGACTGGTCCCAGATCCGCTACCCCCCGCCACCCATGGCCATGGAGCACCCGCCCCCACTCCCCAACTCACGCCTCTTCCATCTGGTGAGTCTGTCCCTCCTTCTCTCTAACACACACACACAGGCCGCCCCACACCCTTTCCAGAAGGGCAGGGTCAAGTGAGGGGGTTTGAACCTGCATGATTGGCCCTTTGCTGAACAGCACCGTGGCGTACAGGCAGATGTCCAGAGCCTGGCGGGACTCCCCAGCCCAAAGCTTCTAGGGTCACTGTTCTGGACAGAAAGGCTCAGAGGTCAGGACAGGAAGGAAGACTCCCTCCAGCCAAGCAGCCCAGGGGTATCAGACTTCGCGTTTAACTTTTTCTTAGAACTTTCACATGCAACTGGGTACCGGGTCCTCACTGTGCATCATCTGCTTTGCTTTTCCTTCTCTTTTCCCCTTTTCAATTTCCCTTCCTTCCCCTCCCCCCACTTCCCTGCCCTTCTTGCTTTCCTTTTTCTTCCTTGCTTATCATTCTTTTTCTAAAAAGCTGCTGTCGCCTAGCCCCACCGTCTCCATCCTTCTGCCACAGTCCTGCTCAGGCATGCCTGTCCCCACCTGGATGATGACATTACCTCTTGCCTGGCAGTCCTTCTCACTTCTGCTACACCCAGTCCTTACACATATTCTTAACCCTAGAGTCGGGTGTGGGGCTTAGGAGACTGGCTCTGGGCTTATATAGAGACCTCAGTCCAAGCTTGGCCACTTGGTTTTCTTTCTTTTTTTTTTTTTTTTTAAGGGAGTATTTATTTTTATTTTAAAAGAGAGAGCGGGAATGGGGTGGGGAGGGGCAGAGAGAGACGCTGGGCTCAATCTCACGACTAGGAGATCATGGCCTGAAATCAGGAGTCAGACGCTTAACCAGCTGAGCCACTCAGGCACCCCCTGGGCCACTTTCTTGGCCAGATGACCTTCAACACGTTTCTTACCCCCTCTGAGCCTCAGGTTTCCTTACCTGTACAGTGGACATGGTAGCCTGGGTTGTTGTGACGATTCAGCCGCACTAGATTCATGTGTGTTGAGTGCCATGCTGGCGGGGTAGCTGCTACTATACCTGGCGGGCTTGATTATCGATTACTAAGCTCCGGTTCTGTTGTAGCCAGAGTATACCTGGCGGCCGCCCTGTGGAGGGATGCGTAATCAGAGCTCCCAAGTGATGGACTCGCCCCCAGCCAGGCCTGTGGAACCAGGTGAGTGTGAGCTGGTACAGGGTGTTGTCTTCCCCTTGGGGAGATAACTTCTTACGTGCCAGGCGGGCCCCAATTTGGGGATGACGTCACCACCTTCTGATCTTGGTGGAGGAGAGGCCTCACTTTCCAGAACAGTGTTGCGAGGGTGGGAGGTGACTGCAGGGTGAGGGGATTGAAGCCATTCATTCATTCCAGTGGTATCTAAACGCCGGGCACTGTGCTGGCTGCCAGGGGAACCGAGTGAGTAGAAACAGGTACGCTCTCTGCCCCTACGGAGCTTACTGTCTAGGGAGGGAGGCCGAAAGGAATAAAACGGACACCAGAGAAATCACACAAATGGGCCTTCACCTGCACTCAGGTGCCCTGAAGGAAGAAGAGCAGGTAACAGGAGCCTGACCTGGACTCGGGGCAGTGATGTTTGAGTCAAGTCCCTCAGAATACATGGAGTTAGCTAGGTGAAGAGGTGACAGTGGAGGGTGTCCTCACAGAGAAATGACAAGTACATAGGCCTTGGAGGAAGGGAGGAAGCACACTGGAGGATCAGGAATAGACTGGAGGAGCCAAGAACAAGACGGGGAAGGAGAGGCGGGCGAGGCAAGGTCAGGGAGGGAGGCGAGTCCAGCCCATGCAGGGACGTGCAGACCATGGCATGGGGCTAGGCTTTATTCCAGAGATGATGTGGATTCCTTGGACATGTTTATTTTTTATTATTTTTTTTTAATGTTTATTTGAGAGAGACAGAGTGCGAGCAGGGGAGGGGCGGAGAGCGAGGGAGACAGAATCGGAAGCAGGCTCCAGGCTCTGAGCTGTCAGCACAGAGCCAAATGTGGGGCTCACACCCACAAGATGTGAGATTATGACCTGAGCCAAAGTCAGATGCCCAGCTGACTGAGCCACCCAGGCGCTCTTCCTCAGACATGTTTAAAGCACAGTGCCATGACAGATTAGATTTGCATTTTGTTTTGTTTTTAATTTATTTGAGAGAGAGAGAGAGCGCGTGCGATTGGGGGAGAGGGGCAGAGGGAGAGAGAGAAGCTCAAGAAGGCTCCATGTTCAGTGCAAAGCCTGATATGGGGCTTGATCCCTTGACTCTGGGATCATGACCCAAGCTCAGCTGACTGAGCCACCCAGGCGCCCCTAGAGTTGCATTTTGAAAAGCTCTGTCAGCTCATGGCATTTGCCATAAACAGTTGGGGACTGAAGTTTTGCTCACTGGTCACAGGAGGACTCTGGGTCCTTAGTGACAGCCAGTACTTTCTGCAAGGCCGTGTGGGACAGAAGGTAGAGCCTTCCGTGGGTGTGAGCGTCAGGAAGGCTGAGTCCTTCCCGGCACAAAGAGGCGCTGTCTAAGGGTAGTGGCTGTGCCAAGAGACACAATACCCCTGGGGCGCCTGGGTGGCTCAGTCAGCTAAGCGTCCGACTTCGGCTCAGGTCATGATCTTGCGGTTTGTGGGTTCAAGCCCTGCGTTGGGCTCTGTGCTGACAGCTAGCTCAGAGCCTGGAGCCTGTTTCAGATTCTGTGTCTCCCTCTCTCTCTGACCCTCCCCTGCTCACGCTGTCTCTCTCTCTCTCTCTCTCAGAAATAAATAGAACATTAGGGGAAAAAAAAAAGAGTGCCCCTCAGGGAAGGTGCCCCTTGCGGAGACGGCAGGCTGGCGTGGAGGCAGCGTGGTTTGGGTGATACAGTGGGAGGAGGGAGGAGGCATTGCGCTGGTCAGCCCTTTGCTCGTGGTTCCCCACAGAGCCCTAGAGGCTGCTGTGATGGGGGGCAAGTGGGCAGGGCTGTCTCCTCCCAGAACTTCTCCACCTCTGGGATCTCGAGCCAGACTGGCTAAGCTCAGACACTTCCTAGATCTGGAAGTTTGGGCACATTTTAAAAATTCTCTCTGCGCCCCTACTCCCTCCTCCATAAAGGGCTTATAATCTGCCTGCTTCACGGGGCTGTACAAGGACTGAGTGACAGGTATACCTCAGACACTAGCCCAGGGCCTGGCACTCAGTAAACTCTAGCTGTTACATTCATCACTACTTACTGGTTTCCATCGGCCTTTGGAATCTACTGTATCACATCATCTTTTAAAGTTCTTAACATTTTTCTTTATTTAGAGTCTACGAAAAATGACCGTGAGGGGCCTCAGTGAGACCAGATGATGTCACTTGGCTCCACCTTCGCCTTGCAGAGCCACCTGATCTCAGATTACTGGAAAACTAGAGGCCACATTCTCCGTGCGGCCAGAGCCCCAGCCGGATGGGAGTCTGATGGGCCACCAGCTTGTGGCCCAGCCCGACCTGAACTGTTTACAGGCTGGAGAGGCTCCACCCAGAAGGCTTCCATTTGGGACCCTCCTGCAGAGTGACCAGGAGAAACTCACCACCCTGCCACCCAGTGGAGAGAGGCCTCATCCGACTTCAACCTGCCATGCTTTGCAGAAGCACCAGGGGACATCAGTCTCAAGCGTGGGGTGCACCCGAGACCCCTTCCTTTCAAAACTTCCCCAGAAGTGGTTCCGGCCTCTCTGGGGACCACGTTCAGTTGATGTGTGTGTTACTTTTTGCTTTAAGCTCCATAGTAGCAGGACCTGCCCCCACGCCCATCCCTTCCCCTCCGAGGAGCTGCGGGAAGGGCAGGTTTGCCCCTGGATGCAGAGGAGAATGACGGGGTGTTCTGCTGCACAGCCCTCCGCCTCCACCCACGGCATCCTTGCTGGTGCCACGCCAGCCACGTGAGCTGAGGGGCCCACCGTGAAGCAACCAGATCCCCAGCCCCACAACTGGAGGCATGTGATGTCAGAGGCTCAGATCAGGGTGGCTGGCCGGCCCTGAGCAGCTGTTTGCACGAACCTTGGACATAAATCCAAGTTGAAGATCAGTATTCTGTGACTCGTGTTTCTTTATGTCCGGGCTAATGTTCCCCTCCCAGGCAGTGAGAGTGCTGCTTTCCCGGCCTCTTCCCTCTGTGCCCCATGTCCCCTAGTCCCCAGAGCACCACCCTGACTCTCCGCAGATATCCCCTGGGCTCTGCCCCATGCCTCCCCGAGGGTGGGCACCAGTGGCAGTGGACAGAATCTGGGCTGAGAGTCAGGTGACCTGAGTTTCCATTCCAGTCCTGCCCCTCACCTACCAGAAGACACTGGGTTGGCCCTTCTGTGAGCCTCAGTCTCCTCACCTGTCAAGTGGAACACTTCATCTCAGCTCCAGCTGCCTGGAGAATTGTGGGAGGGAATGAGAGCAGATGTGAACTGCTTTTATAAACTCCCAATGCTGCGTTAGAGAAGCAGAGTGGGCCCAGGTAGAAGCCAAACAGCAGGGGCCCAAAGCACGCCCTCCATTTCTTCTTCCTTCCTGCTGCTCCCTCCCACCCATCCCAGCTAGGGAGGCCCCATGCAGGAAGCACCACAGTAGTCTCAGCTGCTGCAGAAACGCCTTTACTGGGAAGACGGGTGAATCTAACACCAAGAGCCAGGGTGAGGGGAGAGGGCACATCCTCCAGAAAAGCAGGGGTGGCATCCCTGCCCAGGGGCCTCAGCATGAATGCACTAAGGGCTGGCCCTTCAGACAGGCTCAGGGGAGGACCGCCCAAAAGGGCTTCGGGCCCCTCCTTCATAAAGATGCCATCCCTGACCCAGGGACATGGCCCTTGCTCCCACATCCGCCTCTGCTACTCAGGGAGCACTGTGGGGTGGGGGAGAGGGCTTTGGAGGGCCCTTCAGGAAGGAGCGAGGCCGCATGGTGGAGATTGGGCAGCATGGGAAACCCAGAAACTTCTGGGCACTTCAGTGGTGATACTTGGAGGCAGTGGGAGATGCTGGCCTCAAGGTTGAGGTCCAGGTCAGAACTGAACGGTTGGATTTGGAGCTAGTTTTAACTCGGGCTCCAGTGAAAGTGCATGGTTCTCATTGGGACAGAGAACAGGAGAGAAAGGGGAGTTCTCCAGCACTCTCCATGGCACACAGCTGTGGGCACACATACGGTTCATGTCCCCTGTATTCGCGCAGGTAGACGCAGGTGGCTGTACACTCCTGCACACACATGGTCATGCACACCTGTAGGCACGTGTGCGGACACCCACATGCGCAGCAGTAGACAACAATTGTACGCACACGTTTGTGTATTAGTAAGGGGTCTATGGTGGGAGTGTGGTGTGGTCAGAGAAATGGACTCCTTCCTGAACAGAGTCCCTCCCCAGCCCCTGCAGGGTGGACACGGGGTGGGGCAGGCCTGATTTACTTCCCCTTAACAGTCAGGGCTGCCTGCCGCCTCATGTAGGCCAGGATGTCCATCTTGACAGTGCTGACCGTGGTCCGGTGGTACCAGCGCATGATGGGTATGCCATCTGGCCCCACCAGGAACTTCTCGAAGTTCCAGCGGATGTCATGAACCTTCATGGGTTCCCAGAAGAGGCGGTTAGGTGAGCCCAGGAGCTCTGAGGTGGGTGGGCATGAGTTCTGCAACAGGGATGAGAGTAGTGTCAAGCCTGGGCGGGGCCCTTCCCGCCTCCCACCCGGGGCCTTCCTGGCAGGTAGGAGAACAGCCTGGCACTGAGAAAAGAGCACCATTTGGGAGATGAAAGTGGCATCCTAGGGCTGGCTTTGGCTTTAGCAGCTTGTAAGACTCTTAGCTGATCACTTGGGGGGCCCTGCTTGGGCCTTATCTATAAAATGGGCTGTTGAGATCCTAGTGTCTGCAAAGTCTTACGGTTGGAATGATAGATGCGATGAGATTCCTCCCAGCCCCAGAAGCAGGGGAGGGTGGCACAGGCCTGTCTGTGCATGGGCTAGAGCGGGAGGGGCTGCAGCCCTGTCCAGAGCCAGTGTCAGCTGGGCGGAGAGACTCACCTTCAGGAACGTGTAGAACTTCTGCTCTTTCTCCCCATTCACATCCCCTTTCTCAAAGAGCTGGAAATTGGGGACGAAGCCCCCACCTGGTCGGACATGCCTACAAAGAATATTCTTATGTGGGTCCCAAGGAGATGGGCATAGGGCCCAGAAACTACAAGAAGGGAGGGGGTGTTGGGAATCTGGATTTTATTCCACAGCAGGCAGCTGGAGCTGATCTTGAATGGGCATAGGCGGAGTATGGATCTGTGAGCTTCTTTTTCTAGTGTGGTACCTCCTAAGTAGCCCTGTCCCTGCCTACACTCTCCCCTTCCCCACCTCTGCCATCCCATCATGCACTCACATGCAGTCATCCCTGTCCCTGACCCCTCTTCCATTCATTCCACTGAATGGGGCTCCTGGAAGGGGAGCAGAGCTCTGGGTGTCTAAGCATCTGTCACGAGTAGGGGCCAGCGCAAGAGCTGCCTGGTGCCTAGGCTGCGGCACAGGGTGGGCTGTGCTTTCTCGGAGGAACTTCCTCAGGACACCAGGCAAGCACTCACTTGAGGCTGAGGAGGATTTCCGAGTTCTCTCCTGGTTCCTGTTTGCCGAATTGGTTGCAGGGGAAGCCCAGAATGACCAGACCAAATGGTGCAAGCTCTTCCTGTAGTGCATTCAGTTCTGGACCAGGGAAAAAGAGGGCAGAGATGAAGGTATCCTATCAAGGAGCCCCACATCTTCCGTGCCACTCCACCTGCTCTCCCACTGTATAGCTGAAATCACTGAGGCCTGACGGGACGGGCCTTGCCCAAGATCGCCCAGGGAGTGTGGCAGTGCTGGGATGCAGGTCCCATTCTCCTGACTCCAATCTTGGTTGGGTTGGAGGTTTGGGGAGAAGTAAGAGCAATACCCTTCCTCAAATCAGTAGTCAGTCAACTGCCCACTGCCACTGGGCCAGTAAGCTGAGGGCTCCTGCAGGACTGTCAGGATTGAGTTTCTTAGAGCAAGAGCCATACATCCCTGGGCAGAAGGCAGAGGACTTCCTGGGGAAGGGGTGGGCGGGGCCACCACAGTCCTATACTCTGGCAGTTTGAGGACCAAAGGAAGGCCTTGGCCCAGCTCCCCACTTCCCTCAGTGCACCTGGCCTCTCTGCAGTGGCAGCACCCAGCCCATCTCTTGCACAAACACTCTGCTCTGTTCCAAGGGCTAGATGGAAGCATTCTAGACAGAGCACCCAGTGCCCACTGAGCCATCCAGCCTGCTGTCATTCCACATCCAGGAACTTGCCCGAGACGGCCAGGCGGACATTCAGGGTCAGATTGCCCTTGCTTCCCCCAGCCCCATCAGCAGACTGCTCAGCCCCAAAGCATTTTCCTGTGGGTACTGTCAGACGCCTTTGGCCTGCCTGTTCCCCCAGGCTGTTTACTCTGCCCCAGCTAAGAAAGGAGTGAGGATACAAGGATCATGAAATCTCGGTGAAACACCTCATACTGCCACTGCCACGCAACGGGGGGCCTCAGCCCAACTGCCTGCTTTCCAGATAGGGGCCAGGAGAAGTACGAGGGCAGATGGGAAATTCTCAGCAGGATAAAGCTACCACTTCTTACTCCAGTGAAGGGACCTTCCAGCTACAAAACAAAGCTCTTCCTTCTCTACTTTCAGGGCAGTTGAGGCACCCAGGGATGAAGGATAACTGGGAATCTTCTAGAACATGTCCGACGGTGATCAGACCCTGGGCTTATATAATCATCTCCACAAAAACATGGAACACAGGGGTCCCTGGGTGGCTCAGTTGGTTAAGCGTCTGACTCCGGCTCAGGTCATGATCTCACGGTTCGTGAGTCTGAACCCTGCGTCAGACTCTGTGCTGACAGCTCAGAGCCTGGAGCCTGCTTCGGATTCGTTTCCCTCTTTCTCTCTCTGCCCCTCCCCGATCGTGCTCTGTCTCTCAGTCTCTCAAAAGTAAATAAAAACATTGAAAATTTTTTAAAAACACGGAACACAGTAGATCTGGGATACACAGTTTGGAATCTCATGATCACGGTCACCCCATTCCGCTTGCATCAAAAACGCTCCTATGATTGAAATGTGTCCCACTGGCAGAAACAGCCCCAGAGTAGGGAAGGGAGGTGGGCTCTTACCAACGTACTGGCCTGTCAGGCCTCAGTAGCTGGCCACGTTGACAAACAGGATGTATTTGCCAGCATACTGTTTAAAAGGGATGTACTCCTCCCCATCGATGGTGAGGGCTCCGTACTCATAGATAGTGCCGCTCACGCCAGCATGGCAGTCCGTCTGGAACAGAGGAAGACCAGCACCAGGGAGCGGTTAGAGCTGCAAGGGAACCTGGCATCTCCATTTTTAAGATAATAAAAGATACCAATGAGGGAGAGTGACTTGCCCAAGACCACTCCAGAGTGGACCAGAACCGAGCTCTAGTTCCTTATGCAAAGTAATGATTATGAAAGCACTTAATCATCTGGTGAGTGTTTGGAAACCTGGAGGATTACTTACTGTGACCATTACTTCCACCTTGCATGCCAATTTGTAAACATTTGCCAGGCTCGGAGGGAGACCATGCTGGTGCTGGTGGTGGCATTACTGGGTGCTGATGGAGGCTCCTGGCCTGGCCACTGCAACCAGCCAGGCAGGTGATGATGTGGGCCTGAACGAGGCATTGTGGAGGAGGGACTGAACACAAAGGGGGAAGTGACAGTGTGAAGAGGGGTGATTTGGAAGTCCCAAATCTGGAGGACTGGGAAGCCTAGGCAGTAGCTATAAACCAGGGCAGTGCGAGGATCCAGGAAGGGGAAAGGCATGCTGGGAGGATTTGGCGCCGTGGCAAGGGGAAAGAGGCAGTGCCTGGCACATATGAGACGTTCCCTGCGAGTGTGTAGTTGTGACGACCACTATGCATTCCTCTTTGCTGCCCCCCTGCCAGTCGACCTCCAGAACAAGTAGTGAACAATGGACTCTGAGATGGGGGACCTGGAGTCCCCATCCAGCTCTGCTACTAACGCCCTGTGTGGTCTGGCTCTAGCCCTTTCTCTTCACTGGGTCTCAGTTTCCTCTTTCATAAGATGAGAACCTCGAACTGGACCAGGTATGATCAACCCTGATGACTTGTCAGCGTCACTATCAGGAGAGGAGGAGTGGGATCCCTGCCAGCCAGCACGACATTGCATCAGACTCCTCTCTCTGTCCGCCCTGGCTCTGGGACAGACTGTGAAAATCTGGGTCTACTCTTGAAAGGGTGTCTTGGCATCAATAACGCAATCAGCAGCCGGTCTGGTCATGACAGGAAAGGAAAATGCTGCCACCACTGTAGCAGGAAATCTCTGGCCCTGATGTCGTAGGAGAGGGGTCGCAAGACAATAAAACAAATGAAGTGCAGGGGCGCCTGGGTAGGTGTCCAACTTCAGCTGGGTGTCCAACTTCAGTTGGGTGTCCAACTTCGGCTCAGGTCATGATCTCATGGTTCATGGGTTCGAGCCCCGCATCGGGCTCTGTGCTGACAGCCAGCTCAGAGCGTGGAGCTGATTCATATTCTGTATCTCCCTCTCTCTGACCCTCCCCTGCTTATGCTGGCTGTCTCTGTCTCTGTCTCTCTCTGTCTCTCTCTCAGAAATAAATAAAACATTAAAAAAATTTTTTCTTAAAAATGAAGTGCAAACCACCATCATAGACCATTATAGACAGGAGAGACAGAGACGGTTGGAGTTAGAGAGGCCAATACACACCCTCTCCTCCCCATCAACCAGGAAGACTTCCTGTTGAGTCGAGGTACCTGGGCCCAGCTGGGCAAAGAGAGTCATCTGGCTTAGCAGGGTGTGGACCCAGGACAGTACGGAAAAGCCACCCTCTGTCTGGAAGATGCCGCAGGCCTGCTGAGCCAGACGAGGCAGGGCTCCCTCCAACAAGCCAATCCCTGAGAGCTGCAAGCTCTCTTCTTGGCTTCGATGCAAATTCCCTGCTTTCCATAAGTCTGATGTTCCATGCCCCGTGACTTCTGGTGGGTGCTGGAGACAGGCTTGAGAACTACGCTCAACATTCCTCTAGCCCCTGGGCCTCCTTGGCCCCAGTTGGGTCAGTTCCACCACAAAATACAGACAACCAGCACACGACAAACATAGCCCAGCTGACACAGAGGTCTAGCGGCCAGAAGGCAAGGCCTCCCTACACGCCTCACCACCTCTTCCAAAACTCCACCCTACTCCAACGACAATTTCTGGGAAATGGAGAGAACAAAAGCCAAGAGGTTGTCTAAATAATGAAAGCTTGTAAACACCAGGAGGATCAGCTTCTGGGCACAGCTTTGGGCTGGGGGTAGGGTAAGAGGAATCTCCTCTGTGACTAGGTTTTAGACTTTGTTGGTTCTGGGGCCCCGGGGAAAGTGAGCCAATTTTACTCTCTGAGCCTCAGTCAACTGACAAGAGAGGATAGTACCACCTGCCTCCCAAAATGGCTGTGAGAATCTATAGGCAGATCAAAGAAGGCTGGAAGACCTCTTGGAGACAAATCCTCACATCAAGGGATACTGATTATTCTGCCTGCAGCTAGGGTAAAGGGCCCTGATGGTCCTATGTTATTGTGCAGAGGTCTTTGGTGTCCCCCAGGCAGCGCAAAGAAGATGGTGCACTGTGCAAGAGGTCTCTCTAGGAGGAGGGGTGATGACAAAGCTTCCAAGCTTTCTACTGCGGACAGTGAGGCCAGGGTTGTGGATTCAGACTGATGGGGGTCAGAGGGTGGCCCTATGGTGGTGGAAGCCGTGGCCTGTGCTCACCACTGAGCACTGCTGATCAGTCCCTATGTGACCTGTGAGCCCTCTTCCCTCCTCTGGGCCCATGAATGCCAGAGCCCTGCACCTTAAACAGGGAGGCCAGAGGGGATGGTGGGGAGAGGCAGTGCAAGTGCCTCAGGCCTGCCGTGGTTGGACGAGACAGGAGAGCGGCTGGTGGCTTGGGAGCTGGAGGGGGTCTTGGCCAGGACGCCGGCTGGCTTGGGTTGCTGGTCTTGGGTCTTTCTCCTCTTCCGTCTACCACTCCCGTCACTGTGGTGCTATGAAAGGAGACCTGGCCTGGGGGCTGGAGACCTGAGCTCTGGGCCCCGCCAGGGCCCCGGTACTGTGTCAGCACTCCTTTCCCTTCTGCGGGGCTCTGGCCCCTCGCCTGTCAGATAGGATCAGATTCAGTGCTGTCTTAAGGGCTCTTTAGCTCTGTCAGCCTGTGGTTCCATGACTCTCTTTGCCTGCTTTAGTCACCTAGAAACCAGCGGTTACTAGGATCCCACGCACGTCAGCAGCTGTTACCCTCTTCAGCTTCTGCAAAGTCCTTCTGCACAGCAAGTGCAAGGAGCTTGGGGAGCTTTAGGATGGACTGGGGAGGGGACATAGCCAGGAAAGGAGGATTCCCTTTGTTATCCAGCTCCTCCATTTGAACTGGGAGGAGGCAGACATCCCTTTGAGGCTGTCACCTATTGTCCATCCCATTCCTCACATGTCCCCCGTCCTATCCCCTGGCCCTGGAGTTGGGGGGTAGGTAGGTGGTTGAGTCTTCGAATCCAGAGCTATGACATTTTGACTCTCTAAGGCCCTGGGAGGAGAGATGCGTATGTCCAGCTTGTCGTTAGCCAGCAAGTCCTAGCTGGTTGCATCTGATAGGATCATATCTCACCCTAAGACTTCTCTAGACCAAACGCATCCTGTTCTCTCCAAATCCACCTACTCCCCAGAGTTTTGCAGACAACACATGGCTATGATGAGTTATTCATGGGGCCTATATTCTTACCCTGGCCTTCTTGAGTCAGGGCCCAGTCTTCTCTTCTCTGGCTCTCCCCAAACTGAGGGCAAATGCCTGACTCCATGGTGCTGGCCTTCCTACCTGTACCTCTACCCCACACTACAATCCTGAAACTCAGTCCCATCCCTGCCCTGGAAAATGCCTTTTGAGTTGGGGATAATGAACAGGGATGGATACAAAGGAGGAGGCATAGGAGCAGTGGCTTCATAGCCATCCAATTTCTAGGCTTACTCCAAAGAGAAGCCAACTGAATAGGATTTACCTGAGGACAGGATAAGGGGATAGAAATGTACAGAAGGAACCCTGTGCTTGGAATGGGCTAACTGAACAGTGGATAGAACTTTGGAAATAGAATTATGAACTCCTAAGATATTAAAATAAAGGCCCAGAAGATTTTAGAAACACAGAAGCTCAAAGCTGTTCTTGAGCTTACACAAGCATGTGGTGTGTGTGTGTGTGTGTGTGTGTGTGTGATGTTGGGAGGGTACAGACAGAAATCTCTCTTTGTGTCTATCCCTCTGCCTGGTTTCAACCTCCCACCCTGAAGAAGAAGGTCTACTGGGCCTACCTTGGCGTATACTGTCCAAGGAGATAAAGACGCTGGGTCACCCCACTCCTGGCCTCAGCATCCCCACCGTAGCTAAGGCTTTGCTCAGGCCACCATGGGCAGTGGGTGTGGGTAGTGAGGCTCCCCCAGAACTCTGCCCAGGCCTTCAAGGAACAGCATGTGGATTTTGCAGCTTCTCCAAGCATCCTCTCTGAAACCATCAGCTTCATTGTGCCCCTGACCACCCTCCATGCTTGTCCCCGCATATAGAGAAACCGAGGCCCAGAACGGAGGATCTAGCCAGGGTTCTGAGTGGTGTGCACTGCCAGTTCAGAGCGCTTTCCGTCACAATCTCTATGTCCTCTACCAACACCCTAGAATCAGGTGGGCTTTCTACCTGCATTAATTCTTGGGCTAGAAAAGCCCCCACCACAGTCCTTCAAGACTGGAGACCACCCAGCTCCTTCCCTTTCTCCTCGTCTGTCAGTCACCCCGGGGAATCTCCGCAGCCAAACCCCCCAAGTCTCTGCGCCCCCGCCCCCTACAGGCCCGACCGGAGGGGAGTAACTGAAGACAGTCGCGGCATGCATGCAGCAAGGCGACTCTGAGGCAGCTGTGGGGCAGAAGGGGTCAGCTCGGCGAGAATGCCCCTCCTCCCTATTCATTGTGCCCACCGGAGGCGCCCATAGATGGAACTGTGGAGACCTGCGCTCCGGGTGGGGGGGTCCCGGCGGCGGAGAGGAACCGGAGTTCAGGGTCCCCGCACTAGGTGTTGTCCTTCTGGAGGTAAGCCTGGGAAGAGGGGTGCCTCGCCACCGAGAAATGGACCCCTGGGGTCTCTGCTCGTCCCGCCAGGCCCCCTACCCCGGAGGCTCACTCACCTTCGACTTCTCCTGCCCCCGGCTCGGCGGGACGAAGCCAGCCAGGAGCAGGGAGAGAAGACAGGACGCCCGCAGCAGGCGGGCCATGGCGGGCTGGGGGCGCGTCTCGGGCTCGCCTGAGACGCGGTCTGATCCCGGGCCACCGCCGTCTGAGGTGACCGACGCTCTCGGCCACCTTTCAAGCCCTCAGCGATGACCAATCCGCGGCCGGGCTGGAGTCCCTGTAGCCAATCGCAGGGCGGCTGGCATTTCAGGGGCGGGCACAATTTACCCTCCTTCTCCTCCCCGGGCTCAAGGCGACAGTGACATAAGCAAGTCTGGGCAGAGATGGGAGCTGGTCCTGGTGAACCCATGAGGCAGGCCCCCTCTTCTTTCGGCTTTGAAGTGCAGGAGGAGGCAGGCACAATATCCTCCAGCACAGCCAGGGGAAAGGGCTTTAAATAGCACTGAAGAACTAATGCAAGGCTCAATCCTAGGAAGCATTTCTTACTCCTAGATTTTGAAACACCTGTGGTGCGCCCTCGTTCCTCTTTTCCCCATTCCTGTTGAAGGGATGTTGAAGATTAGAAATGTCTGCAAGATCTGAAGTGAGTCTTCAGGAACATTTGCTCCATGCAGGCTTAGTGCTTAAGAAGCAAACAGTGGGTGCCCACGGATTTTGATTGCAGCCCTCTCCTGGAGAGAACTCTGGGATACTTCTCCAAGCTCATGTGGGGCCAGAAAACACGTTTACTCACTGTGTAGTCTTGTTGCTTTTCCCCTCTGGGACTTGGGTTTACCCAACTGCATAACGATGGACTGGTTGTTGACCTCCTGAAGACCTCCTGGTTCTGGCTAGATGACTTGCTTCTAAAATAAGTGACCGGCCTAGAACTTGAGCATAGGGACCATAATCTCCACCTGGCACAGGGCCTAGAACACAGGTGCTTAATAACTGTTGCATTAATCAATCAAATAATTCATTTCTCTGCTTGGAGATAACTGTTGATGAAGTCAGGTAGCTCTAGGTCTGGGCTGTCTTCGTATGGTCCTGTTCATAGATAGGGGAATGTGTTGGGTTCAGTGCATTCCCAAATCTGCCCGACTACCAGAATCACCTGGGAAGCTTATAGCACAGATTCCCAGGCCTCACTTCAGAATCACGGTATTAGAGTCTCCAAGAGCAGAGGCCGAGAATCTGCCTTCCAACATGTTTCGAACATGATTCTGAGGCAGAGAATTCTCTGTCTTCAGTGAAGAAGTGCCTTGAGATAGCATGCCTTTACTGTAATGGAAGATATTGTCCACATGGGAATCTGGAAGTTCTGTCTCAAGTCCCATGTTCTCCGTAAAGTTTCTCTTACTTCAAATCGCAGCCTATTGAAGGAAAGGGAAACTTGAAGGCCAGAAAGTCTTTAAATGAGTTGAAGCGCAGAAGCATTTGAACAGTGACTGACACAGATTATGTGCTCAATAAATGTTATTCAACCACCTCATTTCACTGAGGCCTAGAGATGGAGAACAATTTGTCCAAGTTCCCACGGTAAATTGGTGGCAGAGAGGGAAGCAGAATCAAGATCTCTAGACTTCAATGTCAGGCACTCTCCACTTTGTTCTGTTGCCTTTTGAAGGTCATAATTACCCAAAGATACAAAAATGTCTGTATCCCTAGCAGTCTGTCAGAGACCCATTGTTCATTATCATTAGCAGGCATCTCACGACCCTAAAAATACGTGCCTCGCATCATGTTAACACCATGAGAGATGTCAGAAAGTTTTCTGGAAGTTACAATCTCTGCCCTCAAGCTGTGTCCAACAGATCCAGGACTCAGATGAGGCAAGTGGGCACCCAGGGCCTTGCAAGCACTCAGGTGGCACCTGAGAGTGTCTCCTTAAATTTTGTACTCTGTGTGCCTGACTTGCCTCACCCTAGTCCCAGACCCGGTGTTCACTTTCTTGGGGGAAATAAGAAGCCAGAGGCCTGAGGCTTGTTATGGGACCACACGCAAGTTCCTTTCCTTCTCTGGGCCTCACCTGGCCATTGGCAGTCTCTCACTGATGGTCTCTGTGGCTCTAGTTCCCAGGGCCTAAGGAAGGCCTGTGCCTCACCAAACTCAGGAGTCCTAGCTTCATGGACAGTGGGCTGGGGGTCAGGGGAGACGGCCAGGCACTGAGGATGGCCCGCACGCTGCTTCCAAAGGAGGGCTGAGACTTCTCACCAAGAGCATGAAGCCACACATGAAAACAGAACGCCCCCGTCTTTTCACCGCCCACTTTTTTAGCTCATTTGGTTGATTTGTTCCCAGAACCCTATGTTTTGAAAGATGTTATTCTCCACTGGGCTGTTTCCTCTTGCCCTCAGGTTGAAGTCCAAATTCCTTAGAGCTTCAGACAATGTCCTCAAACTCCAGCCACACTGCTCTCATTCTACCCCAGCTGTACTGGACCTTTTTTCAGTTCTTCCGGGGTGCCATTCTCTCTTACCTCCAGGTTTTGTCGAGGCTATTCCCTCTGCCTGGAGCACTCCACGTTCTCTCCTTAACTGCTTCTCTCCTACCCTGTTTCAGGTCTCCACTTTTGTTCAGGTCCCCTTGTTTTCGTATTGCTCCTCGAGTGTCTGATACTTTCTATATCAACCCTTTGTTGTCCTTTATCATCATTTCTTGTTTACTTTCTACGCTAAGTCACAAAGTCCACAAGGGCTTCATTCCCAAAACTTTGCACAGGGCTTCCTATATGGTAAATGCTCAGTAAATATTAAATAAATGAATGTTAAATAAAATGCTACTTAGCATATAGAATAAGTGGAGCTTTGGGTCAGCACATGCTAACCATTTGAGCAGACAAAACTGGTCTGATTCTGGCTGCTAGTACGATTTGAGACATGTGAGTTACTGAGTTATCACAGGAGAGTAAATGATTCGCATTGAGTTTCAGGAAAGGGTGGAAACAGATGCTACAGAGGAATCATAAGCCAGTTGTGTTTCCGGCCCAAGAATGTGTTCTACAGAGTCCCAGATAAGCAGGCACCCGGTGGCTCTTCACCATCTTTTTTGGAGACATAGATAGGGAGCTTACTGTCTGGTGGGTAGCTAGGGGCTACAGATGACTTAAAGAAGGTTTTTAAACAGTACTGATGCTCTCTGTCTCTGAGGAAGATACAGCATGAGTTAATAAACAAGAAGGGCTGTAAAAAGCCAAAACAATGGGAGCCAGCCCTTTCACTGATGAGTAAGCACTGGACTTGGTGATGGGGTCAGCGAGCCCAACGGATGGGTCCAGATGGGGGCAGCAGAAGGGAAGCCCAGCCCCCATCACCTCAGTGCCAATTTCAAACAGTGGCCCTCTTTTGCAATCTAGAAGGGATTGCAGAACCCAGGTGTGGCCCTGTTGCTGCTGGTTTCCTAAGTAATTGGCTGATCAAATCTCAGAGTCAGCCTAGAGACAGGAATTCTTGAAGAGGAGAGGCAGCTCGAGCCTCTACTTTTGAAACCAGGGCCTTTCAAATTCTGGGCATTAGTTTCCTCATCTATGGAATAAGAAGTTGAACAAGTTAATCTTATTGTTGGACAGTAAGAGTAACAGCCAGCATTTACCCAACATCCTGTATGTACCAGGTGTTGCTTAGATGTATTAACTTTTTTAAAAATCCCACCAACCTCACGAAATAGGTAACATTATTATCCCCATTTTGCAGATGAAGAAACTAATACATAGATAAGTTAAGTAGCTTTACTTAAGGTCATGTAGTTTGATAGATGGTAGAAGTAGGATTCTGACCCAGGTATTTTGTCTCCAGAGCTCTTGCCTTTAATCTCTAAGGCTGTGTCGTCCAACACAACTAATGAGTGCCTGGAAAGTGACTAGTCCAAATTGAGATGTGCTATGAGTATAAAATACACACTGGTTTTAGAAGACTTAGTATGAAAAAGAGAATGTAAAACACCGTAATAAATGTTTATATCATTACATGTTGAAATGTTAATATTTTATGTATTGGGTGAAAGAAAATATATCCTTGAAATTAATTTCACTTCTTTCTTTTTATATTTTAAAATGTGACTGATAGAAAATTTAAAATTCCATAAAATTACATATTACAGATGTTAGATTTCTATTGGACAGTCCTGGTTTAGGCTATATAATCATAAGAGACTGGTAAAGGATTATGGTTGTCTGTGAAATCCAGGCTTATCTCCTGGAGCGCCTGGGTGTCTCAGTTGGTTAAATATCTGACTTTGGCTCAGGTCATGATCTCACGGTTCTTGAGGACAAGTCCTGCATCTGGGTGAGCTCAAGCCCCACTTCAGGTAACTCCCACTTCTCTCTCTCTCTCAAAAGAAAGAAAGAAAAAAGAAAAGAGAAAAAGAAAGAAAAGAAATCCAGGCTTATCTCCCATCTGAGGTCCCCAAGATCACCTCCAGGTTCAGTGATTCACAAAGAAGACTCACAGAACTCAGCATATAGTCATACTCATGCTATGACTTATTATACTGAAAAGTCACAAAGCAAAATCAGCAAAGGGAAAATGTGCATGGGACAAAGTCTGAAGGGAAATCAGGCACAGGTTTCCAAGAGTCCTCTCCCAGCTGAGTCACAGAGTATGTGCTTAATTCCTCTAGTAATGAACAGTGGCAACATGTGTAAAACGTTGTCTCCCAGGGAAGCTCATTAGAGACTCAGTGCCCAGGGCTTTTACTGGGGGCTAGCCACGTAGGCATCCTCTGTTTAGCAGAGGCCAAAATTCCAGACTTCCAGAAGGAAAGGAGGTGTTCAGCAGTGACCCACTCTTATCAGTTCTGGGAATGGTGGAAATCCTCCTGAAACTGAAGTTCCCAAATGCCAACTCAAGGGCCAACTGTGCAAGCAGATTTTTCTAAGCATAGCAGTCCTGCTGTGTTAACTGTTTTTTGCAGATCTCCCAGTTAAACTTCACCAGGACCTGGCCTGGCAAATACCGGGTTCATTGAGCTTACCTGACATGGGAATCAATGATTCCCACTCACTCCAAAGCCTCCTTAGTTGGAGAGAGACTTGTAAAAAGATGAAGAGCCCCTCCAGACTATCTTGTTCAACTGCCCCTCAACTGAGAGCTAAGGCTCTGAGAGGCTGAGTGATTTGCCAAGGGTCCCGCAGCAAATACCGGCATCTACAAGAGTCACACCTAGGCT